GCTTTTATCTGCCCCGAGGCATAGGGCGGCCCCGATCCTCTGGTGACTCGCTTTTCCTGGCCTGGAGGCGAGCACTCCTCCTGCGGGAACTTAGTTCCCTCCGCCTCTCTGCCCTGAGCCTCTGCAGCTCAGGAGAGGCTGGAGGGTTATCGGACCCAGAAGCAACCTCAGCTTCCTCTGACGGGGCTGAGAGTGGAACACCTGCAGGCAATGGGTCCTCCATCAGCTCAGGAGCCAGAGCAGACTCAGCTGGTGCCTGCACCCGAGGATCCAGCACAGGTGAGGACCCTTCAGGCTCATGCCCCAGCCCCGGCTCAGCTGGTTCTGGAGGCGGGGAATCCTGTGCAGGCTGGGATCCCTCAGGGTCAGCATCCGAGTCTGAATCCCAGGCCATCACAGTAAGAGGCACAACATCTTGCCCCACCCACCCCACTTTGCCTCTGGAACCTGCGCCTTTGGCACTTGGAAGATTGGCCAGGTGGGAAGCCAACTCTCAGGCTGAAAGAGGGTTCTCAACTCCTGCTGCAGGTAGCCAGCTTGTGTGAAACAAGTGTATTGGCTAGAATGTTGGACCAGGACCTGGAAGACTAGGGTTCAAATCCTCCCACTCAACCATAGGCGCCGACTCCTAGGGGCCGAGGCAGTTTCACCGCCCCAAATATTCAGAGGACAATGTTTGATGTCACACAGGGCTCCCCCAATCCTCTGGAGAAGCTGGCGCCTCTGAACTCAACTCACGGTGGGCCAGTCCCAGTCTCTCTAAGCCTGACTTGCTTTGTCATGATGTCAGAAGCCAGTGTGGTGTAGTGGTTAAGAGCGGTGGACTCGTAATCTGGTGAACCGGGTTCGCTTCCCCGCTCCTCCGCATGCAGTTGCTGGGTAACCTTGGGCTAGTCACACTTCTCTGAAGTCTCTCAGCCCCACTCACCTCACAGAGTGTTTGTTGTGGGGGAGGAAGGGAAAGGAGAATGTTAGCCGCTTTGAGACTCCTTAAGGGGAGTGAAAGGCGGGATATCAAATCCAAACTCTTCTTCTTCTTCATGAGGAAACAAATAGGGAGGGGGAGAACCATGCGTGCACCTCCTTGAGCTCCTTGGAGGAGACGTGGGAAATAGTAATAATAATACTAGCAGCAGCAGAAGCAGCAACAACTTTCATAGAGGAAGTTGCCTTACATCCGGCAGAGGTTGGACAATCTAGCTTTTGTCTACATTAAATGGCATTGGCCATCCAGGAATTCAGGTGATGAACATTCACAGCCCTACCTGGAGATGCTGAGGGTTGAACCTGGGACCTTCTGCATGCAAAACAGATGCTCTTGCCCTTTCCCATGATGCACATGTATGTGTGATTCAGTTTTTTAAAATGACTGGCCAGGGTAGGGCAGGGGACAATGGGCAACCTTGGGTGCAGATAAGAGATGGCCAGCTTGTGGGCCTCCTGAACAAACTCAGATTGGTTGAGTTACGAAACAGTGGTAAATTAGCTGTACATATTTATTCCTGTTCTCTCTTGGCATGTTTTATTTTTTTAAAAAAAATAATTTTAAAAAACATCAACCAGAAATGTTTCTGATGGCTGCCCACAATTGAATGTTTTCACACCTCTGCTAGTTAATTGCGCCTCCTGGTTTCATCAGTTCTACAGATATGACTTCAAATTCCCGGTCGGCAGAATTCAGGCTGAACGTTCATTTATGCGTATTGTCTTGAGTGTACGGACACAAGTCACCCCTTAAAGTTTCTTGACGATCTGAGCCTGGAAAAGAAACTGTTGCGTTTCTTAAAATCAAGAGTTTCACTTCTCTTCAGTCTGGCCTGGGTTATTCCAGTACAACAAAAGAGGTTTAAAGATGCTCTCAAGGCAAATCTAAAAAGAAATGCACAGAAAATTGGGAAACACTGGCCTGCGAGCGCTCCAATTAGAAAATAGCCTTTACCAAAGGCATCATGGACTTTGAAGAAGCATGAACTCAGGATGAAAGGGAGAAATGAGCTAAGAGGAAGGCAAATTTGACAAATCCTTACTGTGATCAACTCCTACCTGGAAACCAATGTCCCCACTGTGGAAAGACGTGTGGATCCAGAATTGGCCTCCATAGTCACCTACGGACACACCGTTCATGGAAGACAATCTTACTCGGCTACGAGCGATCGCCGAAGAAGATTCCAAATGTCATTACAGCCAGCCAGTACACTCCCTCTGATCCAGCTACTCCTGTTTGCTTCATAATAAGGCAACAGATAAAGTAGAGTTGACTGCAGGCACATAGCAAGAAAATGTGCAGCTGTTAGGGAGCCTTTCACCAGCAGAATCCCAACTGGCTCAAATCTACTCAGATAGGGAGTGTTTCAATTCGGTTCCAATTTGGGTTGCACTTTGCCTAAGGTTCTGCCTGTTGGGTTCAGGTTCAGTCCAGCCAAGGTTTGGCACTGGATTCAGCCTACCTTCAGGACAGTGTTGCCAACCATTTTACCAGTCCCTGCTCCTGCGCTTATAATAATGAACCATGAACCACGGACCTTAGCCCTGTGCTAGAAAGGGATTCGCGTCATCGATCCTGCCGGGCAAGCTGATAAAACAGGGGCTGGTGGGAATGCACAGAGACCTTGCTCTGATTTTGAAGTTCAGGCTCAAGGCAGAAGCCTTGCTGTGATTCAGAGTGAGATGAAAGGAGAAGGTGACGGGTAGGGAGACCTAAACTTTTAGTGGCCCCTGTGAAGGTTGCACTATTGTAGCTGCGTTACAACCACATTGCAGTGGAAGACCTTAAAAGGTAAAGGGTAAAGGGACCCCTGAACATTAGGTCCAGTCGTGGCCGACTTTGGGGTTGCTGCGCTCATCTCGCTTTATTGGCCGAGGGAGTCGGCGTACAGCTTCCGGGTCATGTAGCCAGCATGACTAAGCCGATTCTGGTGAACCAGAACAGCGCACAGAAACGCCGTTTACCTTCCCACCGGAGCAGTACCTATTTATCTACTTGCACTTTGATGTGCTTTCGAACTGCTAGGTTGGCAGGAGATGGGACCGAGCAACAGGAGCTCACGCCGTCGCGGGGATTCGAACCGCCGACCTTCTGATTGGCAAGTCCTAGGCTCTGTGGTTTAACCCACAGTGCCTTAGCTGTTAGCTAAATATGAAAAACAGGGGGAGTTGCGATCTGAGCCATGATTGGTTCCTTTGGATTCAGGAGCCAGTCTATGAATACTATGGCAATATGATGGTATCATTTGACTGGAATTGCAGGATCTACTACTTGTATAGCTAGCACATGTGAAAGCCCATATTGATACTGTGATGTGTGATATTTCAGTGAATCAGGCATAATTGGTGCAGACTGGGGACTCCTCCAGAATTCCCTTTGTGCCATACTTTCTCTTTTTTTGGTCCCTGTGCTTTTGCTGGGCAAACCCATGTTTTACTGTTGAATCGGAGAAAACGGCAATTTCCCCCCCGGATTTGCCATTTGCTCTGACTCAGCAGCAAAACTCAGGTTTACCCAGGGAAAGAACTGGACAGACCCCCCCAAAACGAGAAAGAAATAGAATGCTCAGACAAAGAGATTTAAATACTGGATCTGTGCTTGGAAAGTGTGGTGCAAAAGGTAGCCTGGATGAGTCCTTACTGATGCGAAACACTTCTTCTATATGTAGCGATGCCTACACACACACACACATTTTTATTTATTTTCATGGTACAGAAGATACATTTTGAGAAAACAGTTGTTACAACAGTAAACAAGTAACTTGCCCTGATAAAATCACAGGCTTTTATCATATCATGTGTTAAAGTTTCATTTGATTAAGAGATGGTGCCACATTTTCCCACGAGTGCTGGGTGGATTCCTGCCATGTTCTGAACAATTTATGTGTTTAATAAACATTTGCGATGCCTATTCCGGGTGACTCGGGTGATCTACACTTAGGAGGAAGATTTCATCTTTTCATGCACTTGAGACAACGCTCTCTTTCTTCTACATGCGCTTTAAAAATACAAGATCTCTGTACATGTTTGCATCTAGTGAGGGGAGCAGGCTTGGTAAAAACAGCTGGCGATCCTAAATCAATTAATGATTCATTGTGATGAAATATAGTTTATCAGCTTCTGGCTTCAAGTATGCATGCGCGTGCACACACACACACACACACACACACACACAGCTTTCTTTCTCCTTTTTAATGTACATAATGGATTCCACTGAGGGAAAGTAGGTTTCACTCCTACTTTCCACTTGATGCTGAATTTCTTATTGAGAAGTGCCTCTTTCAAAGCCTCATTGGGAGGTTTCTCTCTGCCCTGGATTCTTCAACCCATCCAGTCGTCGCTGAGAGGAGGGGGACATGCACTCTACACGATGTCAGGAGCCTTGGCAGGCCAGGGGGAGGCAAATCTCCAGCCCCCTTTCATGCTGTGCAATCATACCATACTTTTACCTCAACAGACTTCCTGCCCTCCGCTCAGCAGAGAGAGGATATAAAATAGTCTAGGCCAGATCAAAGGCTCCATCTTCTGAAGAACCTCCTCCCGTGTACTCCGTTGGGCTGCGTGAAGTCTAAACACTTCTAGCTATGGTGAGTTTCTCCATCTCTGGTTATATTTGTGATTATATAATCAAATAAGGCATAGACAGTGCTGAATCTAATCTACTTTGCTCTTAAAACTGGGTTAATTGTTACCGGCATGTGTGTGTGTTTGTGTGTGTCATTTTCCCCATCCACAGAGAAGTTGCTTAAAGTGGGTTACTAATATGAAAGAAAACCTACCAATAACACTTAGCTGATGATATTGTGGTCTGGGTTTTGATGGGGCTACGCAGGTTTGTAGACTGCACATCCCATAAAGCGGTGGGCAGGGAACGCAAAAATTTACAGAGCATGGGTGGGTGGGGAGCCTGGTGCCTTGAAAAAACAAGCGCGGGGACAGAATGATAGAATGGCAGAGTTGCAAGGGGCCGCAAGAGTCATTTAGTCCAACCCCCACCTTGCAATGCAGGAATATTTTGCCCAGCATGGGGCACAAACCCACAACCCTGGGATTAAAAGTCTCGTGATCTACCCACTGAGCTACCCCATGTGAAATAATTTAGGAACACACAGTTTGCCAGAGGGCATTGAAGGTAGGAACTGTTCTCACTAGACTGCTAGCCTTGTTTGAATGGAGCTGAATATCAGGCTACATTCAGATCAGAAATGGGGAATCTGTAGCCCTCCACATGTTGTTAGACTGCAACTCCCAGCACTGACCATGCTGGCTGGGCTGACAGAAGTTGGGAGTTCAGCATTGCCTAGAGCACCCCAGGTGCCATATCCCAGATATTAGATTCAAACTTCCAGCATCACCGTTCTAATAAGCCCCTCTGAGACATTTAAAGAATCAAGAGTTGTGCCGCGAGAAGCAACATTGCCAAAAGCACGGACAGCCACCCATCCAGATTTGCCTTCTGAGATTATTTTGCAGCCTGATCCTTGTTGCTGTTGTTGTTGTTTAGTCGTTTAGTTGTGTCTACCTCTTCGTGACCCCCTGACCAGAGCACGCCAGGCACTTCTGTCTTCCACTGCCTCCCGCAGTTTGGTCAAACTCATGCTGGTATCTTCAAGAACACTGTCCAACCATCTCATCCTCTGTCGTCCCCTTCTCCTTGGGCCCTCCATCTTTCCCAACATCAGGGTCTTTTCCAGGGAGTCTGCTCTTCTCATGAGGTGGCCAAAGTATTGGAGCCTCAGCTTCAGGATCTGTCCTTCCAGTGAGCACTCAGGGCTGATTTCCTTAAGAATGGATAGGTTTGATCTATAAGGCATTCCCTATGTTTCCCTCCCTGATCGCACTGCCCTAGAGGCATGTGCAGAGTTCTTTTAAGAAAAACCTGTGATTGTTCCTATCAGCCTGATCCTATGTGCATACAAGTGGGGAGCAGAGAGTTCTATTGAGCTCAAGGAAGCTCACTCCCTGATGTTCGAAGGATTCCAGTCTCAGATTTGTTTCCTCTAAAGCTACAGAGGAGCAAAACGGAGAACCTCCTCTAAACGTATTTCAGGTGACACTATACATGTCTCTAATCTTCAAGAAGATAACTCTCATGAGCAACAAACCAACGTTACTGATGAAATGGATAAGCCACATGGGGATATTTATGACACTTATATTGAAATAAATGGGGTGGGTGCTTGCAACTGTAGAACAGAGATTCATTCATAACTATTTTAGAGACTGCTGCTGCTGCAGTTGACTTTCATTTGCAACTCATGACCTGTAATAGCTTTTCTTGTTAGTCGCTGGATTTTGACTGTGCTTGCCATGATTGTAGTAATGGTTTTGCTATTTTTCTTAAATCTTGTTTCAATGTATTACCTGCCCTTCACCCTAAGGTCCCAGGGTGGGTCACGACATTTTAAAATACATTGAAAACAGTTTTGGAGAGCGACTGCAGGTCAGAAAAGACGACGCTGTGCTAAGTGGGTCAAGATGCTGACAGAAAATAAGGCATCCCGTATGCTTCCCTCCCTGATCCCACTGCTCTAGAGGCATGTGCAGAGTTCTTCTTTTAAGAAAAATCCATGATTGTTCCTATCAGCTGTTTGAAGAGAGGCAAAGGAGCTTGATTGCCTCCTTCCAACTTGTGCAGGATACAAACCAGGTCAGGCTATTTATCTGTTCATCTGTGACCTATGCAGCGTGCATTTATGGGATGTCACACCTCAAGGCTCTTCAGCTATGCACACAACCAAACATTTAAAGCACATGCATGCACCCCAAGAAATCCCGGGAACTGTAGTTTGTTAAGGGTGCCGGGGAATGCAGTTCTGTGCAGGCAAACTACAGTTCCCGGGTTTCTTGCGGGGGGGGGGAGTGCTATAAATGTAAAGTGTGTGCCTTTGCTATTTTTGCCAGAACAGACTTATCAGGGCTGGAAACTGTGACTGACGGGGCTCTCTGGGGTGACTCACCTCCTGCCTGATTCTTTTCAGATTTGGAGGTGCCAGGAATCGAACACAGGGCCTTTGCTTTCGTGGTTGCTCATGTGTTGTTGCCCCTGAACTCCCAGGCTTGTCCACATTTATCTTTGTACAGAGCAGCTGGCTGGAACAACGGCTGCATTTTGAAGTGCACAGCTCTGGCAAGAGTGTGGTGCTCACAGCTGAATGGGAGCGCATGGTTCCCCCTCCCCCAGCGCACTTTCACAGCAGGAGATCTCTTTGATCTCTTCGCATTCCATGATCGTTGCATCTTGGCCGACAGTGACAAAAGTAGTTTTCTTCTTCTTTTAATCTTTTTAACTGGGCCTGTTTGAAGCTGTAGAGCCCACAAGACGGCTGCCTACGGTGATCAGATTTCATCCTCCTGGTCGACTTGAAACGAGTCGGCCGGAATCAGGAGCGGCATTGGACCTTAATTCAGGAGGAGGGTGGAATTTGACCCAGTTCGCACTTAAATGCAAGCTCACTCAATTTGCTCTCCAAAACAACACAAAAACTGAAAGGCAGCCATCCTTCGAAACCCACACATCCGAATTTTGCACATCCGAACGTCTACAATTTAATGTTGTATTTTAATATTGCTTTTAAGTTGTATTCATTCAACTTGTTTTTATTATTGCTTGTTAGCCGCCCTGAGCCCAGCCTTGGCAGGGGAGGGCGGGGTATAAAAAAATTATTATTATTATTATTACAAAAATGCATATGCTAGCATAAAGTGTGCATTGCATTGGATGTATTAGGGAAATCAGACATTAAAGTATATAACATTGCTTTGGAAAAAAATGTGTAAAATGAGAAACTGAGGAGGAACAAAAAATTGCCATACTTGTCCCTCCCTGAGCATAATGACAATTGATTCTGGGGGGAAAGCTCAGTTAATTTAAAAGGGAAGATTTACTCTGGAGTAAAGGATGCAAGATGTGTGTGTGGCTCTTTCTTTTTCTTTTCTTTTTTCTTTTTGCTGTTACCTGCATTGAACTTGTTTAGAGCAACATTTTACGTGTTTCCTGGAAGTGTGTGTGTGCATTTAACCGCGTTCTGGAAAGTTACTATTCTTGGGTTAACCCAAAGTTGGTTCTCTTGCAGGAATGCAGCCCACATGTGTGTTTGGTGTGTATGAGACAGAGCAGAAGTATTATTTCTCATGGCTATCACACTCCCACCCCCCTCCTAAACTGCCATCTCTGGCATGCAGTCCTGCAGGCCAGGATTGTTTACTAGAACTAATTATGTACAGTGGTGGATTCAGGAGCATCGCAAATGATGTGCAGCAACCATTGTCTTGTGCTTGTGGTGGGGAAGCTGCTTCAAAGGGTGCGATGTGTCAGGGCGGAAGTTGAGGGGGTGAGGAAGGGAGAGGGACCAGTGAGAAGGTAGCGAGGGAGACATGGAGATGGGCAGTGGCAAAAGAGAGGAGAGAGAGAGAGAGAGAGAGAGAGAGAGAGAGAGGAGGTGTGGAGAGGAAATGGCTGCTGACAATGTAGGGGGAGAGATAAGGTTGCAGATAAGGTTGCAAGAAATAGAGATGGGTGGGGAGGTGATGCGAGAAAGAGGAGGGGGTGAGAAATTGAGAAAGGAAGGGGGGCAAAGCTGTTATTTTGTGTCCTGCTCATGATGTTCCTAAGAGTCCTTTACCTGACCACTGTGGGAATCAACATTCTAGGCCCGATAAGAGCTGATTCAGCAGGGTTCTTGCTGCACCCTTAGGTGAAGCAGGCTATCTGGACGTATGAATTTAGGTAATAATAATAATAATAATAATAATAATAATAATAATAATATATTTATACCCCGCCCATCTGGCTGAGTTTCCCCAGCCACTCTGGGCGGCTCCCAATCAAGTGTTAAAAACAATACAGCATTAAATATTAAAAACTTCCCTGAACAGGGCTGCCTTAAGATGTCTTCTGAATGTCAGGTAGTTGTTTATCGCTTTGACATATGATGGGAGGGCGTTCCACAGGGCGGGTGCCACTACCGAGAAGGCCCTCTGTCTGGTTCCCTGTAACCTCACTTCTCGCAATGAGGGAACCGCCAGAAGGCCCTCGGTGCTGGACCTTAGTGTTCGGGCTGAACGATGGCAGTGGAGACGCTCCTTCAGGTATACAGGACCGAGGCCGTTTAGGGCTTTAAAGGTCAGCACCAACGCTTTGAATTGTGCTCAGAAACGTACTGGGAGTCAATGCAGATGTCTCAGGACCAGTGTTATGTGGTCCTGGCGGCCAGTCCCAGTCACCAGTCTAGCTGCCACATTCTGGATTAATTGCAGTTTCCGGGTCACCTTCAAAGGTAGCCCCACGTAGAGCGCATTGCAGTAGTCCAAGTGGGAGATAACTAGAGCATGCACCACTCTGGTGACACAGTCCAAGGGCAGGTAGGGTCTCGGCCTGCGTACCAGGTAAACGTCGCATAGGATTCACTGCCCAGTCCTGATTTATTTTTGCGTGGGTGGGTGGGTGTCAAGGAACTGGGCAGAAGAGGAATAGTGGAGACCGCCTCCCCGGCCTGACCCTAACAGGGAGGAGGAAGAGGAAGACAGTATTACAACAGGGGTTTGTGGGAGGTCACAGCTCAGAGGCAGAAGAGGGGGGAAGTTGGGAAATAATGGGAGTGGAGCAGGAGGAGGAGGAAGCAGGGTGACAGCTGATGCACATGGTGTCTTTGGAAAGCATTTCAGACCCTCCATCTCCCAGAACCCGGCGAGCCTTGAAAGTAGGAGAGCAAAGAGCTCAAAGACAGAGGGCACATAGCAGCACTCGTAGAAGTGATGAATGAGGAAGTGGGAGAGACAGGGGTGTGTGGAGATTCACTCGGGACAATGTCATTATCCAAGAGGCTGGGTTCTACAGCTCCTCTCTGTAAATATTGAAAAAAAAAAGGATGGTGAGAAACCTTCCCTTGTCTTTATACTTTCCTGGGCAACCAGCCAGGAGCCGCTGACAGCATCCTGACAGTGGGTTTCCTACTGCTTACGTAACTTCATTTATTAAACTATTAGACTATACCTGTGACGATTCTGCGATGGATGGGATTGCAGTTATACAGTGGTACCTCGGGTTACATACGCTTCAGGTTACAGACTCCGCTAACCCAGAAATAGTACCTCGGGTTAAGAACTTTGCTTCAGGATGAGAACAGAAATTGCGCGGCAGCAGCAGGAGGCCCCATTAGCTAAAGTGGTGCTTCAGGTTAAGAACAGTTTCAGGTTAAGAACAGACCTCCGGAACGAATTAAGTACTTAACCCGAGGTACCACTGCAGATGAGTACAAGCTGAGTGATGTCGGACTAACGAACATCTCAAAGTTCACTGCTCCCCTATCAGATTTCTAGGGCAATGCTGTCATCACCCCCGAAAGGGCTTTTGCAGTCTAAAACTCAGAGACTATTTCTGACTAATTCCAAAACTGCCCGTCTTTTGTTCTCTTTTTTACACACACACACACACACACACACACACACACACACACACGGTGATGACATTACTGTATTTTTTCTGTGTATTAGATGAGGTTTTTTCCCCTGGAAAACTAACCTCAAAAATGGGGGGCTCGTCTTATACATGGATAGTGCATCGGGGGGGGGGAGGGCAGCTGATGAGAGACGCGAGGCGGAGATCGCCAGTGGTGTTTTTGCGAGTGAGTTTTGGATGCGTCCAGGGCTGCTGAGGATTGGCTGCTGTTGCGGCAATAGGGTGGGCGATTTGTGGTTCCTGTTGTGTTGCATTCAGAGGGTTGGTGGGCTCGTTGACGCGTGCAATCCTCCCCCCCAAAACTCAACAAGCCTGGGCAACTTCCCCCCATTTTCTTAAATTTGAGTCCCCCAAAATAGGGGGCATCTTATACATGGGGGCGTTTTATAGACAGAAAAGTACAGTACCTCAAGCAAGGGCAGGGGAGTCAAAAGACAACTCTGTTTTTGCCATACTTTTGCCGCAGTAGGGTCCTTCCATCAGGTTTGCCCCCAAACCAGCTCTATCAAGCACCTCCTCATGCCCCCGAGCTGAGGGGGTCATTATAAGAACTATTATTTAAGAATTGGCACCTAAGTTTTCTCAGAGAGGGGCTGTCTAGTTTTGATTGATTGTAAGCCACTCTTGGAGCCTTTTTTGGGGTGGTAAAAATGCTCTAATTAAATAACAAATCAATAATACCACACTTGGGGAGGGGGAGACAAACTGCCAACATGTGCTAACTTTGGAGAGCCAAAGGTACAACGAGAGAAGCATCTTCCTCTGTGCCGTGCTCACTCGTTCCCCGAATGACTCTGTTGACAGGTTTCGAAAGATGTGGTGGTGTCTTGAAAATCTGCAAAACCGCCTTCACCAGAGGGGCGAGTGAAATGAAGTGCATACACCACAAGGAACCAAAGAGCTAAGCGTCCCCTCTTCAACTCTCAGAAATAAGCTTTTGAATTGTGGGGCCGGTGAGGCGACGCGGGAGTGGGATGAGGGGCAAATGAGGGGAGGGGTCCCAGTGGAACAGCTGGGGAATCCTAGTGGTGCTTCAGGTTAAGTGGTGCTTCAGGTTAAGAACAGTTTCAGGTTAAGTACAGACCCCCGGAACGAATTAAGTACTTAACCCGAAGTACCACTGTATATGCTGCAAGCTGCCCAGAATGGGTGTGGCAACCCAGTCAGATGGCCGTGGTACAATTATTATTATTATTATTATTATTATTATTATTGAAATATACTCGGAGTCGAGAGTGGATTTCATGCTCTTTATTCAGCTCGTAGTGGTGAGGAGGAATCATAACAATTATTATTATTCCTTTTTAGTCTTATGTCTGGAATCCAGGTGAGGAAGCTGACATTGCCTCTTTCATGGACAACAGCACAGACCTCAACTACTACTATAGCAACAATGACACCTTGCTCTGTGGCCCCGACACCACCCAGGCCTTCAGGCGCTATTTCCTGCCTCCCTTCTACATCCTGATTTTCCTCCTGGGGCTCTGTGGGAACGTGATGGTGATTGCTGTCTTGCTGCGTGCCAAGGAAGCCCTACCTGGGACGGATGTGTTCATCTTGCACCTGGCTGTCGCAGACGTCCTCCTTGTCTTGACCCTTCCATTCTGGGCCGTCCAGGCCGTGCACAGCTGGGTCTTTGGGGACGTAATGTGCAAGATGGTTGGCAGCGTTTTCAAGATCAACTTCTACGCTAGCATCTTCTTCCTGGTCTGCATCAGCTTCGACAGGTACCTCTCCATTGTTTACGTCATTCGCATGTACAACAGGGGCAGGTCCTCTCTCATCTTCCTCAGCTCGTTGGCTGTTTGGGTCCTCTGCATTCTCCTCACGCTTCCGGATTTCATCTACCTGACCTCTGAACCCGATTCCCGCCAAAACACCACCTCGTGCACCCTCAATTTCCCCCCGGGCTCAAGCTCAGCCAAGTTCTTCATTCGCATCTTCAGCCAACTTCTTGCCTTCTTCCTCCCACTGGTAGCGATGACCTGTTGCTACATCAGGATCATCCTCAGCCTCATGAACTCCAAAGGCTCCAAGAAGAACAAGGCCTTCAGAGTCATCCTCGCTGTGGTGGTGGTCTTCTTCCTCTGCTGGACTCCTTATCACTTGGTGGAGTTTATCGAGAACCTGATCGACTTCAACGCCCTGCAGAAGGATTGCGAGTGGGAGGCCAAACTGGACATGGCCGAGACGGTCACCACCAGCTTGGGGTTCTTCCACTGCTGCCTCAACCCACTGCTCTACGCTTTCGTGGGCGTCAAGTTTCAGAACAGGTTCCTCAGCCTTCTCGAATCCTTTGGCTGCGTCAGCCATGCGTTCCTGCAGAGACATGCCAGGAGCTCCAGCCACAGGAGAGATTCAACTTGGTCTGAAAGCACAGAGGCCTCCTACTCAGGGCTCTAGGAAGCCTAGCGTTTCCCTGTTCATCCAGAGTTTCCCTGTTGTTGAGCCAGCCAGCCAACAGCTTTTAAGAGAGTCGAAAGTGGCATCCCTTCTCGATGCACCCATGCATTTACATTGGCCCCACTCTCAACACCAACCAACCTGGGTTTACAGATTTCTGAAATAACACCCACACACGCCCTTCACAACCTATTTGCCAGGGGTGACAGTCAGATGAATGTTCACACTGTGAGCAGCGGTTGTTTCTTTCGTACCACTTTTTAAAAACAGCGAAAAAGTTATCACTAGGCTAGCGCTGAATGGAGCCTCCTGGGGTCTGGGCCTCAACGTAATTCAAAAGTAGACTTCCAAGATTCTGAAGAACTACCCTTCAAAATATGGGTTTGGGGATTTTGATTCTTGAAACGTCCGTTTCTATCCACAAGGATTTTCTAAGGGGGGTTTGCTTTCTGGTGAACATAGCTATATCACACTTCACTTAGACAAGTCACACCCCTTTGGTGTTTACGTTCAGGTTTTGTTTTTTTCTTCACTTCCTCACCACAAAGTCTCAGACGAAGAGTTGTGACTTCAGAGTTTCTGAGACTCGCACCCAAGACATTTTGAATGTAAATATTTTTGAAACTTTAAAGTTTGATTCACCTTCTGCCCAGTGAGCAACATGGAACCAGAGAGCTCTCTTGAGCTCAATTCTGGCTTCTGAGATTCCCACAAATGTCTAGTTGGCCGCAGTGAGAGCGGGATGTAGGTCTAGCTAGGTCAGGGGTATGGAATCCTTTTCCGCCAAGGGCCACAATCCTTTCTGGGGGCCACATTCCAGTGGTGGGGGGGACCAGAGGCAAAAGCAGGTGAAGGAACAAGTCTGCCTTTTTTACTTTTGTATTGGGGAGGGGCAGAGAGGGAATTCCGCATACTGTGCAAAGGTGAGGATTCTGATACGCACACACATTTCTCCATCCATGCAAGTAAAGGCAGGACCACAGGCCAGGGGCACATTCCTTCCAGAGAGGGGAGCCAAGTGGGGGGGGGCAGGGAGCCGCCACCCCAAATGTCCCCATGACACACCCACATGCCCTGCTGTGTGTGCGAGTGATGCCAGGACGCCCCGTGACATCCACACATGCTGGGGTGAATGCTGACATCACGTGGCCTAGGGCCACTCGGTCACGGGGACAAGGCAGCTCACATGCTTCCATGCACGACCCTCCAAGTGTCCCTGTTTTCCAGGGACGGTCCCAAATTCACAGAAGCCGTCTCAGCTCCTGACTTGATCCCGGAATGTCCCACTTTTCCTTAGGACGTCCCTATTTACATCAGAGAAATCTTGGAAGGCACGGAGTTTTGCGACCCCCCCAGCCAAAGAGATAAGTAACTATACGACCTTTAGAAGACGTCTGAAGGCAGCCCTGTATAGGGAAGTTTTTAAATGTTTAATGCTTTATTATGCTCTTTTATATGTTGGAGGCTGCCCAGAGTGGCCGGGGCAACCTAGTCAGATGGGCAGGGTATAACTAATAAAACTATTATGGAATAAGACGTCCCTGTTTTCATCGGAGAAATGTTGAGGGGATGCTCCGAGATAGGCCTTTGGCCTGATCCAGCCTGGTTATATTTCCATGGGATGTCCAAGGGAGCCTGTTGAACCGGGTGCTGGAGCCAAATACCTGGGGAAGACTGATGCCTTCACACCCTGGTCATCAGCTTCCAGCTGTCCCCTGTCAGAAGCATGATGCTAGGCTAGATGAGCGCTTGGTCGGACACAGCAGGAATCTTCTAAGGTTTTTCGGTCGGTTCCATGAGCGCCTGAGCATCTCATCTGCCACAGCTGTGCTTACAAAGAAAATATGTCATGGGGAAGTGCCTGTACCTGCAGCTCCCAGAATTCTTTGGGGGAAGCCACAACTCTTCATAGTGGTATCATAGCACTTTAAATGTGTGAATGTGGCCCTAGTAGATCACCAATTAAAAGGGAGTCCAGCTGAATGAAGGTCCCTGCGCCACCTTGTGGACAATGTCGAAAACTGCAGACACCCAAGTACCAGAAAAGGGTTGTTCACACAACAGGTATAAATACCTGTACAGTATGCACTCTTTAGATGTTCAAATAAACACGTTTAAATCAGGGTGTGTGAACCCTTCCTCCGGAAAGCTCCATGCTTGTTTATTCTAGATGACATAGGCTGCAATACTCACCCCACTTACCTGGGAGTCAGCCCCACTGAATTCAATAGGACTTATTTCCACGTAGACACCGTGAAAATTGCGCAGTAAAACATCAACTAAAATTTACACTCAGGCGGAATATGCAGGTGGGGAACAGGATCTCATCCACCAGCCCAGTGTGTCCAGAGGCAAAAGCAGGCAGAGCAGGGAAGGGAAGGTTTCACCTTTTTACAGCAGGCTAGTTTTGACACCTGTCACCCAAACATGTCTTCTCTATCCCGGCAAGCAAAAGGCGCAATCACATTTCAAAGAGGCATTTGTTGTTGCTTCGTGACCAAGTGGGGATTTGAACCCTGGTCTCCCAGTTCCTGGTCCGATACGCCAACCACTGTACCATTCCAGGCAGGCAAAAAAAATAGGGTGCAAAGCAGGCCTGAGGGGAGGGTGTATGGGTAATGAGGGGGCCTGGCCTGTGGAGGGCCTGATAGAGCCTGTTTAGCCATGAAACATCGCATTGCAGGGGGTTGGACTAGATGACCTTTGGGTCCCTTCCAACTCCAAGATTCTATGATTCTGTGAAAATATTTTCTGTTGTTCTAGGTTGCATCAACAGAAGCATAGTGTCCAGATCAAGAAAAGTCAGAGTACCACTCTATTCTGCCTTGGTCAAACCAGACCTGGAGTACTGTGTTCAGTTCTGGGCACCACAATTTAAGAAGGATATTGACACAGAGGCGTCTTCCCCTTAGGGCTTAGTGGCTCGTTGTGCCAGGGCACTGGTCTCTCAGGGGCGCCCCAGCGGGTGGGGGAGCTGCGCGGCTTTACTGGCGGCCTCCCCTTTCCCTGCACGCCGCCAGATGGTTGGCAGGGCGCAACGAGCCACTAAGGCCTATGGCTCCTCCTCCGATGCCACCTCCTCTCCCTCGGCCACGGGAATCCCCTCAGTCGCTGCCCGCCGAGCCATTGTCGTCTGAGGGAGTGGCGGGAGCGGCGGTGGTGGGAACGGCTCCTGAGGGACCTCGTCCGCGTCAGCGGTGCCTGCCGCCCCACCACCACCACTCTCCGGGGCACAGGCGGCGGCGTGGCAACCACCTCCTGCCCCTCAAGCCACTGGGCAGCAGCGATAGCGCTGGTAGCAGGCTGTCGTTGTCAGGCAGCAGAGGAGGAGGAGGCACCCCAGAGCCTCACAAGCAAGCGCGGGGTTCCAGCAGTATGGCCAGCTACGCCGCTGCAACAACATCGGCGGTGTCTTCTATCAGCGGTGGCTCCCGGAGCTGCAAGGTGGTCCGCAAGTTGGGCCTCAAATTCTAAATTCTGGGGAAGGGAGGGATATTTGCACAATGGCGCCAGATGTGCTTAAGACGGCCCTGTATTGACAAGCTGGAATGTGGGCAGAGGAGGGCAGCCAATATGATCATGCGTTTGGAAACCAGGCCTTATGAGGAACGGTTGAAGGAGCTGGGTATGTTTAGCCCAGGAAAGAGGAGGCTGAGAGGAGATAGGACAGCCATCTTCAAATATCTCCAGGGCTGCCACATGGAAGACGGAGCAAGCTTGTTTTCTCCTGCTCCGGAGGCTAGGACTTGAAACAATAGCTTCAAGCTACAAGAAAGGAGATTTCGACTCAACATCAGGAAGAACTTTCTGGCAGTAAGAGATGTTTGACAGTAGAACGGCTCTCCCTCAGGAGGTTGTGGACTCTCCTTCCTTGGAGGCTTTCAAGCAGAGGTTGGACGGCCATCTGTCATGGATGCTTTAGCTGAGACTCCTGCATTCCGACTCTACATTTCTATGATTCTATGGAGACTCAGCAATAATAATAATAATAATAATAATAATATATTATTTGTACCCTGCCATCTGGCTGGGCTTCCCCAGCCACTTTGGGTGGCTTCCAACAAAGATTAAAAAATACATTAAAATGCCACACATTAAAAAATGTCTTCTAAATGTCAGGTAGTTGTTTATCTCTTTGACATCTGGTAGGAGGGTGTTCCACAGGGTGGGCACCACTACCGAAAAGGCCCTCTGTCTGGTTCCCTGTAGCTTTGCTTCTTGCAGGAAGGGAACCGCCAGAAGGCCCTCGGAGCTGGACCTCAGTGTCCGGGCAGAACGATGGGGGTGGAGACGCTCCTTCAGGTATACTGGGCTGAGGCTGTTTAGGGCTTTAAAGGTCAACACCAACACTTTGAATTGTGCTCAGAAACGTACTGGGAGTCAATGTAGGTCTTTTAGGACCGGTGGTCTCAGTGGCTGCCCCCAGTCACCAGTCTAGCTGCTGCATTCTGGATTAGTTGTCGTTTCCGGGTCACCTTCAAAGGTAGCCCTTTGAATGGAAGGAAAGTTGAATACTCTTGCGTTAGACTGCCATTAAATGCACGGGGCCAGGAAAACAGGCTCACTGCTTTTTGACTTCCCCATCTGGGACGCTTTTGCAATGGGGGAGGGTTTCTTGGGTTTCACCTTGTTTTCCGTCACTGCAGCAAACGTTGGTGTCTCCTCCGGAATTACGACTTGGGCCACTTCCACATTTGGAGGTGGGGAGAGGAGATGTGGGGAAGGTGCAGCAGGGCCAGGCTTACCCCATAACTTGAGGGCTCAAAGCAATGGTTTGGTAGCAGAAGCAAACATGTCCGACGACTGGGGAGATTACTCCGATTACATAGAGGTACGTAACTCTCCCTTCGTGTAGCAATGGGGATAGCTCCCTGCTCTGTCAACGTTTGGGGTTTTAAAAACTGGCCCTGCTCCTCTGCCTTTAAGCCAGGGTGAGCTGGTGGGGAGTTGAGAAAAAGGGCAAGCATCCTGCGCCTTTAATAGCGATGCAGAAGAGGAAGGTATAGCTTGTTGCTCAGAGCACACGCTGTCAAAATCACCTCTTCTACCACATGCCAATTAAAAGCACAGGAGCCCCTGTCCTGTTTGTCACTTGGCCACCTTTAAGAGCAGGCTGAGACACAACATTAGCGATGTTCACATACACACACTCGCAGACGCCCGTTTACCTGGGGTTGGCTTGGAATAAGAAAGCTGTTTCCCAAATTGTGAAGGGTTGCCAACTTTTCTTTCAGCCAGGGCTCTTCTGCCTCTCACCGGTGAATTATAGGCTGGAACCCATTCGTTCAGCACCTGCTTAAAGTCCTCCCTTATCAGTGGGACTCCAGGCATGGCTATTTTGGGTTGGATCCTGTGCCTTTGCTGCCGGGGGAGGAGTGCTAACCTTTTTGGGGTTGGCTGACACATTGGCCCAGGGTCAGTCCTGGGTGTTGGGATGAGGGTGTCACACGTTAAATTGGGGGGGGGGGGGCTTGGTGAGAACATGTGGAGTCCTCAAGGCAGCCTGCCAAAAGGTTTTCCCACCGGCGACCCAAACTCTTTGACAGATTCCCCCCCCCCCATTCATTCATTGTTAAATATGGTAAATAATGTCGAAGTTAAAATTTGGGGTGGGGGGATAACAAAAACAAAACAAAACCTCTCTTCTTTACATTCCAACTCAGAATTTTTATAATTCATTCATAGTCAAATCTGGCAAATAAATAAATAAATTCAAAGTTTGAAATTTGGGAGGGTGACCCTCCAAAACGATTTTTACATTACAGGAACAGGGACTCACTGTCTGTGAAAAAATGGGGAAAAAAATGAAAATGTTTAATGGACACATTTTGATGGGACTGGGGAGGGCATATAAAGCCCTTTTGGTATCACAGTATCACGGGTCTAGGTCAGCAAACATCGCCGTTGCCTTTATTTTAATCAACATTTTGTTTGTGTTATATGTGTATGACGCAGTGGAGGGCTGGGCGGAGGCACCTAAAAAGGTTTCGGCATCTTGACCCCATAGTAGGGGACTCTCAGGAGCAGACAGTTTTATTAAAAGCTGAAATAAAAACGGCGAGACATTTTTGGTGGCGGTGGGGAATGTATTGAGTGACCACGAGAAAACCCTTTTGTGGGGGTGATGGCGCCAGATGAAACCCACAGACCAGCTGCTGCTGCTTCTTCATTTGCCTCCAAACCTTTGAAAATTACGAAACCCAGTGGCTTTGTCCCAAATTAAAAAAAAATGTGCCGTGAATTTGTGCTGGAAGATTTCCTTCAGGACGAGTGAGTTGAATCCCCAGAGACTCCCCAGCTCACTGTCTCCCTCTCTCCTTCCTAGTACTCCACGGGCTACCCCGAAATTGACCCCGGAACAGCCCCCTGCACACAAGATGAGGTGGGCGCCTTCTCTCGTTATTTTGGCCCTGTGGTTTTCTCCGTGGCCTTTGTGGTGGGCTTGGTGGGCAACGGCCTTGTGCTGGCCATTTTGGGCCGGCGCCCTTGCCCTTGGCTCTTCGCGGACTGCTACCTCTTCCAGATGGCCGTCGCGGATCTGCTGCTAACCTTCACTCTCCCTTTCCGCGCCGTCCAGTTCACCCAGGGCTGGGTGTTTGGAGAAGTCTCCTGCAAGCTCGTGGGCGCCATTTCCACTGTGAACAGCTACAGCACCGTCTTCCTCCTGACGTGCCTCAGCGTGGAACGCTACCTGGTCATCATCCATGCCATGCAGCTCCACCACCTTGTGAAACTTCCCCACATGTACCTGCTCTCCACCCTCGTGTGGATCGCCTGCTTCGGCCTGTCCGTGGTGGACCTCCATTTCCGTTCCGCGACCTACGCGCCGCAGGCCGGAGCCGTCATCTGCCACCTGAGATTCGACGCCCGACAAGCCGAGTCTTGGCGGCTGGGCCTGCGCTTGGTTTCCTTCCTCTTCGGCTTCTTCTTGCCTCTCCTGGTAATGGCGGTCTGCTATTTCCGCGTCTTCCATCGCCTGCGGCAAGCCAACATCTTCTGCAGGCACCAGGCCGTGCGTATCCTGCTGGTAATTCTGGTTCTCTTCGTCCTCTGCTGGGCGCCCTTCCATGGATTCATCTTCGTGGACAGCCTGCAGCGCCTTGGCCACGTGGCCCGAGACTGTGCCAGGGAGAAGATTCTGGATTTTGGGTTGCTTTTCACAGAGAGCATGGGCCTGGTCCACTGCTGCCTCAACCCCCTGGTGTATGCCCTCATGGGGGTCAAGTTCCGGAGAGAGCTTTCCAGGTTGTTCTGTTGTCGGGACAGGGATATAGAACGCCAGCGCAGGATCTCCGACTGGGAATTCAGCCAAGCCACAGAGCACACCATCACCCGACCCGTAGACTATTCCATCATGATGTGAGCATTAGGGGCGAGAGGAAGCCTTATTCAGAGGACCAGATCTCTTTCTCAAAGAACTGGAACCCCAGGAGATAGAGAAACATTCTGGTTTGTTAAGTATAGCAATTCACTGAAATTGTAAATGCTTGTTGTATACATTTGCTACGCGTCTAAATTGGATTGGTTCATAACGGAATTCTGGTGGTTCTCATGTGATTGGCTAATGTTGGTCACAAGGGAGGTATCCAATGAAGGAGAGACTCTTTTATGCGAAGCACAAGGACTGTGTGTTAGAATCCACTGTGAACACTGCTACGTGGAGTAGAGCGCCGGGGTGCTTCTGCTTGAAAGAAAGAGAGTAAAGCTGCAGGAAAAAGTAAAAGTGGGAAACTCTCATAGGACCTGTGGCTGTAAATGTGATGTTTTCATTCATCTATAATTGTAAGTTTCTGCAAGTAAAGTTTTTGAATGTTAAAGTCTGGACATGGGTTTGATTTCCAAATAAGGGTGTCCGTTAGATATACGATTTGAGCTACTTAGCTGTGATTTCACTACTCTTACTTCAACATGGTTATGGTGGAAATCAATATTTAGTATCATTCATTGGTTTATAGATATATAATATAGATCAGGGGTAGGCAACCTAAGGCCCAGGGGCCGGATGCGGCCCAATCGCCTTCTCAATCTGGCCCACAGACGGTCCGGGAATCAGTGTGTTTTCACATGAGTAGAATGTGTCCTTTTATTTAAAATGCATCTCTGGGTTATTTGTGGGGCATAGGAATTCGTTCATATTTTTTTTCATAATATAGTCCGGCCCACCACATGGTCTGAGGGACAGTGGACCGGCTCACGGCTGAAAAAGGTTGCTGACCCCTGATATAGATAGATAGATGACAGATGACAGATGATAGATAGATGATAGATAGATGATAGATAGATAGATAGATGATAGATGATAGATAGATAGATGATAATAATAATAATAATAATAATAATAATAATAATAATAATAATAATTTTTATTTATATCCCGCCCTCCCCAGCCGAAGCCGGGCTCAGGGCGGCTAACAACAATCAAATAATCAAACAATCAAATAACCCAACATTCTAAAACATTTCATTATAAAAATTAATTAAAATCAAATTAATGGCAACCGTTAAGCAAAATTCTGTGCAGGTTGCCAGAGGAGGGAGTCAGGCCGGGCACTGACCAAAGGCCTGGTGGAACAACTCTGTCTTGCAGGCCTTGTGGAAAGATGTCAGGTCCCGCAGGGCCCTAGTCTCTTGTGACAGAGCGTTCCACCAGATTGGAGCCGCAGCCGAGAAAGCCCTGGCTCTAGTTGAGGCCAGCCTAACCTCTCTGAGGCCTGGGACCTTCAGGATAGATGATTGATAGATAGATAGATATAGATAAATAGATAGATAGATAGATAGATAGATAGATAGATAGATAGATAGATAGATAGATAGATAGATAGATAGATAGTTAGATGATAGATAGATAGATAGATAGATAGATAGATAGATGATAGATAGATGATAGATAGATAGATAGATAGATAGATAGATAGATAGATAGATAGATAGATAGATAGATAGATAGATAGATAGATAGATAGATGATAGATAGAGATAGATGATAGATAGATAGATAGACAGACAGACAGACAAACAGATAGATCCCAGAGACAAAGTCTAATTTCTTCAGTCTGTCTCTTCCCCTCCTGCTGCGTCTTATCAGAGGCCGGGTGAAGAAAGGGAAACCTCCCCCAAAGTGGAAGGTTCCAGCCTTGCAACAGCTTCAAAGGTGGTTACAAAACACCGGGCACGCAACTGACATCACCCTCACAGGAATTACCGTAAAGATCATCTCCTGTCTTGGTCAGAGGAAGTCGATTGTGCACACCCCGCTCATCCTGAGAAGTAGGTTTCGTCATCACCCTTCAAGGTGTTCGGTTTGCGGAGATATCTCTGAACTCTTAACTGCTGATTGCCACTTCCCCCTCTCTCGTTGGCCTGCTCCTGTGCCTTTAAACATCACCCCAGAAACGCAGGGATGCCGCAGGTGAAGAAGCCTTGTCTTGTAGGAGAAGCTTCAGCTACCGAATGCCATGTGTCTACCGTGACAATTTGAGCAACAAGGATTGCACACCTGCTACTGTTGGACCCGTGTCTTGTCTTGGTAATGGACTGGATTACAGCCAACAAACTGAAGCTCAATCCAGATAAGACTCAGGCTCTGTTGGTGGGTGGTTCCCTAGACCAGATGACTGGGAGCTCACCTGTTCTTGATGGGGTTACACTTCCTCTGAAGGAGCAGGTTTGTAGCTTGGGGGTCCTCCTGGATCCTCTGCTGTCGCTTGAGGCTCAGGTGGCCTCAGTGGCCTAGAGTGCCTTCCATCAGCTTCAGCTGGTGGCCCAGCTGCCCCCCTATCTGGACAGGGACAGCCTAACTCCTGTTGTCTATGCTTTGGTAAACTCAGGGTTAGATTGCGTGTTTAGACCTTTTAACCTCCCCCTTAAATAAATTCACTCAAATTTTGGTTTGGTTTTTGGCAGAATTTAGGCCACAACTTTATTGATTACAGAAAGTGACTGGTGGCATAGGCTCTGGTTCGACTAGTTCCCTGCCATGCAGGTAGCGCTGACCCTGGGTACCAGCATAGGTCAGCCAAGGATGAACACCTGGATAAGTGGAAAGCCGGGAACCGACTATGTCCACCACCCAGATGTCTCCCTGGACTCAGGCACAGGCACAACCCCTCTCAGGGTTGACCAAACTATTGAGTCCCTGGATTCCTTTAACGGAATGCCCTTCACATAGGGATGGGGAGAGTGTTCCCCCATCTCTAACACCTGAACTAGAGCCTATCCGCAACCTTACAAGTTGTGACGATTTGCTATGCGGCAGGCAAAACCCAAATGGCAACAGCCAATCAGCCAAGTGGGGAAAATTCCTGCCATGCCCCTGTCCCAATGACAGACGACACACGACGGCATAGCAAGGTCAAGCGCAAGCCCTAAATATAGGGAGAGGTGGGCGGGTGGTCCGATGCACTGGCCCAAAGAGGAAGCTCAGGGTCACGTGCATGGGCAAAAAAAGGTCCCTCGATCCATTTGGCTAGTGTCCCATTGGCCTGATTAAACCCAGAATTGAGGGACCTACCAATAGAGTGTTGTGGCTATCCAGTCGTACCCACCCACAACACAGGGTTTGGTTGTCAGGTCGCACAGCAACACGTGCCCTCTTTGAAGGAGGACACAATTTACTGCAATGCGTTATACGTAGGGCTGTCTCTGAAGACAGTTTGGAAACTTCAGCTAGTGCAGAATTCAAAGACCAGATTGCTCACCGGAGCAAGATGGTTTCAGCATATGACCCTGATTCTGGTCCGACTGCACTGGCTGCCAATTACCGTATTTTTTGCCCCATAGGGTGCACCGGCCCATAGGGCGCACCTAGTTTTTTTTTGGGGGGGGGGAAATAAAGAAAAAAATTATTCCCCCCCCGGGGCGGGGCTGGGGCGGGGGAAGCCCAAGCTTTCCCCGACCCCAGCCCCCAGAACAGGCTGCTATCCGCAAGCCTGGGGAGACCGGCGCGACTTTCTGCCGGTCTCCCCAGGCTTGCGGATATCTGCCCGAAGCCCGGGGCACACTGCACAGCGCGCCCCAGGCTTCGGGATACAGGCTACTATCCGCAAGCCTGGGGAGACATGCGGGAAGTCGCGCCGGTCTCCCAGGCTTGCGGATATCTGCCCGGGGCGCGCTGCTCAGCGCGCCCAGGCTTCAGGATGCAGGCTGCTATCCGCAAGCCTGGGGAGCCCGGCGGGAACTCCCGCGGGCTCCCAAGGCTTGCGGATAGCTTCCTGAAGCCTGGAGAGCGAGAGGGGTCGGTGAGCACTGACCACTCTCGCTCTCCAGGCTTCAGCGAAAGCCTGCATCCGCCCCATAGGACGCACACACATTTCCCCTTCATTTTTGGAGGGGGGAAAGTGCATCCTATAGGGTGAAAAATACGGTAGTTTCCGGGCCCAATTCAAAGTGCTGGTTTTGACCTATAAAGCCTTAAAAGGCTCAGGACTTCAATACCTCAAGGACTGCCCCCTCCCATATGAACCTACTCGGACCCTGACATCATCTTCCGAGGCCCTTCTTCATGTGCCTCCTCCTTAGAATTGATGCACCACGCTGGGTTCAGGACTGAGTACCATAATATACGACTTTCAGATATCCTCATACCTTAGGAATTTGTCTGTACCTACGGTACCTATCGGCGTTTATTTACCAAAGCCAGACTAAACGTATTTCCCTCGGAAGTTCTAAATGGCGGGCTGAGAGGCATCCCCTGTCGGAACAGGCTTTGTTTATGTTCCCAGGACATCGATTGTACGAAGCATATCCTACTGCATTGTGGGCAATATGAGCAAGCAAGGGGTTAACTGATCAAACCCCTACTGGCAAATTTGCCAGGAAAATCCGAAGCCTCCCATATTAAATATCTTTTGGAAGACAGGTCAAATGATATTACACTGGCCGTGGCTAAGTTTCTTTCGGAGGTTATAAGAAACGAAGATGATTATGCCCTAGATAAAACAAAATGACTTCCTTGGTTCCTTCCATCTGTCTGTCTGGTCGTTTTAACTGTATCTAGTTTTGAAATGGTTTTGTGGGTCTTTGGGCCGCAATAAAGTTTTGGTGATGATGAGTACCATAATAAATAAACCTGACAATGAGGTAGGGTGCCCATACTAAGTTTTATTTTTTAAACACAGCAATGTAGTGCAAACTCCTCCTAGTCTTTTCCGCTTTCTGATCTTCCCACCAAGTCCATTCCAGTTTTCTACCTGTTGAAGACTTCTCCCAGCTTTAAATCTTGGGAACTTTAGTTCTGTGATTTCCCTAAGAACTACAGCTCCAAAGAAGGCACACTTTAGAGATTCTTAGTGTACTCACAAAACTACAATTCCCAATATTGGGCGCCACAGTTTTTTGGGGGGGCACCAGCTTTCACACTTTTACGCAGGCGGTTTGTTTTGCTGCAGGGAAGATAATCAGTTGTAGCCTTTTTCCTAGATGAGGAACCCCCTTTTCCTTGAAGAAAATCCTCAAGTATCTCATTCGTTGGCAAGCACCTCTTGGATCCAGGAGTGGTAGTTGCACACTGTTGTGTACACGCCAGGCCTGTTTTTCTGGGCACATCCAGCACCCCAGGACACAACGCCGGTCAATTTTCCATTACACACCAGAGGCCCACCAGAATCTCCCTGCAGCCAAGAGCAGACAAACAAAACATGACTGTCTGAACTAGAATAAGGGGAGAAACTGAGACACACAAGAACACCTCTCTCTCTCTCTCTCTCTCTCTCTCTCTCTCTCTCTCTCTCCTTAATCCTTCCCGCCATAGGAATCAAGCACATTTCCCCGCAAAATATTAGTTATTTGTGTAGCCGAAGCTGTTATAAAAAATAAAATACATAAAATGGAATAAAATGGAATAAAATAACATTACATGCTTAAGATAATTATTGAAGCTGGACACTATGTTTAGATAAGAGCTTGCTCCCCTAAAGAATTTAACTTGTCAACTGTACAAACTTTTGTTCTTAAAATTACCGCTCTAAAGGCAAGGTAGGCCACAAGAATTAGAGATGAATCTGTCGATTTTGGTTTCTTTCACTTTCCCACTTCTCTAATCCTAAATTGAGTTTTCCACGTTTTGGAAGCAATTTGCAATAATAATAATAATAATTCCTAGAGAAAACTGGTGAGCTTTTTAGCGCAAATTTCTCCTAATGTATGTTTTTTTTTGCAGTTCTGACAAATATGCACACTTTTTGCAAGCCGTTTTCCCTAATATAATGCTATTTTCAATGCTATTTTCACCAAAGCGTGCCTTTTAATGGACACTTTGTGTGCATTTTTGTTTGGACAAGTGCAGCACAAAATTCAGAGACGTGCGAACTTCGAAGGATAACTGCATTACAGTTCCCGTATTGCTTTGAAAGGCACAAATTAAGTAGTTTCTCATGCAAGGAGAGGAACATCAGAGAGAAAGTGTTAGTGTTGTTCATGATGAGCTGATTTACTAGTTTCAAGGAATGGATCCTGAAGTGATGTGCAAATGGCTTTAGATACCTGTTAGATCCATAAATTACCATACAGGATATATTCAACACAAACAAAACAGCAACAATTTGTTGTTGACAAAGGACAGCTGGACATATAAAGGGCCCCATTACATGATTCAGTAGCTTAGGGCCTCATCAAACCTAAATCCGGCTCTGCTGATGGGGCTTCTCCTTTCCCCACTTCCCACCCCCCCAGTTCAAGAAACCCAGTTTCCCTCTTACCTGGCAAGAGTCTTTGCCGCCCTCTATGTAGCCAGCGCAAAACATGTTTTTAGTGATGCGTCCAGGATAGGAAGTCTGGCAGGCAGAGGAGGACAGAATCGGCAACTTCAGGCATTGCAGTTTGTCTGGGTATTCAACTGGGGGAAGAACAAAGGTGAGTCTCAGTTAGGGACGGTGTGAATCTGACCTTTTCGGCTCCCCAGTCGTAAGTTCAGCTCTTCACAATTCCATGCTGGTTTGCCACGGTTATTATGTTGTAAAGAAGGGTCTCAGGGCAATATCTGGTACACAGGCTGAGACCCTACCTGCCCGTGGACTGTCTCGCCAGAGTGGTGCATGCTCTGGTTATCTCCCACTTGGACTACTGCAATGTGCTCCATGTGGGGCTACCTTTGAAGGTGAGCCAGAAACCACAACTAATCCAGAATGTGGCAGCTAGATTGGTGACTGGGAGCGGCCGCCGAGACCATATAACACCGGTCTTGAAAGACCTGCACTGGCTCCCAGTACTTTTCTGAGCTCAATTCAAAGTGTTGGTGCTGACCTTTAAAGCCCTAAATGGCCTCGGTCCTGTATACCTGAAGGAGCGTCTCCACCCCCATCGTTCAGCCTGAGATCCAGCGCCGAGGGCCTTCTGGCGGTTCCCTCGCTGTGAGAAGCCAAGTTACAGGAAACCAGGCAGAGGGCCTTCTCAGTAGTGGCACCTGCCCTGTGGAATGCCCTCCCACCAGATGTCAAAGAGAAAAACAACTACCAGACTTTTAGACGACATCTGAAGGCAGCCCTGTTTAGGTAAGCTTTTAATGTTTAATAGGTTATTGTATTTTGGTGTTCTGTTGGAAGCCACCCAGAGTGGCTGGGGAGACCCAGCCAGATGGGTGGGGTTTAAATAATAAATTATTATAATAAATTATTATTATCATGAGGGATAAACACCGTACCTCCTGAAGTCCGAGTGTTCCCCCAGCCTGAGACGAGGCAGTCCTCTCCTGCGCTGGGGCAGCTTGGGGAAATGTCAATGGGCTGGACAAAGGCATTGAAAGTGACTGGCTGCGAGAGTTTGATCAACATGAAATCATTGTCCGTGGTGCGCGCATCGTACCCAGGATAGCGGATAGCTTTCTCCACCTGGATGTGCTGTTCAGTACCTTCCTCCTGACTGGTGTCATGCTCCCCAAGGTGGGCCATGAGAGTTCGGGGGCTGGAGAGAGAGAGAGACAGACTTTGGTGTGAACTCAGAGTGATTCACAGTAAACCTTCTCGAGAGCAAAGAAGCACAAAGCCAGAAGCAGGCAGGTCGTGATTTTAACCCGGCCTCAACCTTGTGCTCCATCCAGAACCTGTGTTTTTAAAATCACGGCTCAAAATCACGCCATCAAAAATATTTTAAAATCACGCCATCAAAAATATGTAAGAGAGCAAAAGCAACAAAGAGGGGCTCTCTGAGCCTGCGCAGAGTGCCTTTCCTGCGACACTACTTCATACCTGCCAAGAGCCCCAGGAAAAATGGGACACCCTAATTTTTTTTTGCGCAGCAGCCAGCCTGCTTATATAGAGCTCCACTACAATGCAACAGTAATCATTTTCTGTAACTATCCAATCACTGAATGTCACTTTCAATCCCTTATTTGCATATGTGGACCTGAGTGAAAACTATCTACAGTATCCCCCTGCTGGCCCAGGGTGAGAACTTCAGTACATAACAAAAAATATATTTTGCTATCACCTGACCCACTGGGCCAGCCAAAGTCCTCTCTGATGCCTTATCCAAATAGCGTCCAGCATGCATGGTAAGTTTTCCAATCGGCAGATGATTGTCTTTTAAAGAAAAGTTATTTGAATGTCTCCTAGTTTCTTTATGGGAAGCAGGGAGAGCAATATGGGGTGTGACTTTGAAGCAGATTCTATGAAAGTTCTGGACCCAAAACTGTTGTTTTCTTAGTGTACACATCTGGCTTTCCCCAATATACTGCCAGTTCTGTAACTCAGTTGAATACCCCTGCCAAGCCCTTTCTGCCCCAAGGAGTCTGCAATGCAGCCATGCTTGCTTTTTAAAGAATGATCCATATAAAGCCATCGACCCTACACATTAAACTCACGTTTTGTAGCAATGGGCAGCTGAGATGACCCAGCGGTCATTAATGAGGGAACCGCCACACCACCGGTAACCAGCACCGTAGGTTAAGAAGACTTGCCAAGGCTGGGAGTGAGCCGGACACTCGTACCCGGCGATGATCTTATCGTCGTCATCGTAGCCATTCAGGGGTGTAGCTGCTGCAGGAAGACAAACAGGCTTGCACCGTCAGTGGAGATTGGGGGTTGCCAGTTCCTCCCCCTGGCAGGGGCTCCTGCGCCTTAACACAAATGGCAGGCCTTTGTGCAGCCCAACAGGGTCTTGAGAAGCCTTCAGATTTTAGTAGTTGTCTGGGACTGGGAAGGCAGATCCCGGACATCCTGTTTGTTATCACGAGAGAAATGATATATAATGAGATGAAAAAGATGTTGAAATATACATTTATTAAGAAACCAGAAGCATTTTTACTTGGCATTGTAGGAGATGATATAAATAGACAGGATTGTAAGTTGTTTTTATATGCAATGACGGCGGCAAGAATATTATTGGCGCAAAAATAGAAACAAGAAGAACTACCGACGAAAGAAGAATGGAGGATGAAACTGATGGACTATGCAGAGCTAGATAAACTAACAGGAAGGATTCGAAACCTACAGGACCAGAGATTCTCAGAAGACTGGAGTAAATATACGAACTATTTGAAAAGTAATTGTAATGAAGAGATTACGCTAGTAGGATTGCGAGAAGTTTTGTAAGGAGGTTTATGTGAAATATTGCAAAAAAGACTATGAAGAGAATTATTAGTTAGTGATAATTAAGAGTAATAGAAAAATTAGAAAATGCAGAATAAGTGATAAAAACAGAAAATCACCAGAGGAGCTGACGGAAGTCAAAAACATTGTATAAGATAAGAAATTCTGTTATATGAATGTTGGAAACGATATGTTAAAAAAACCAATAAAAATATTTTTTTAAAAAGAAGAAAGAACAGCGGTCATTTTGGTTGCCACGATCTCACATGATTTCTTGTTGCAATTCCCTCCCCCACCACGTGTGGCTTTTTTTGGGCCGCGATCTTGCATGGCGCCCCAACACACACGTTTGTGAGCATGGTGCCTTAAAAAAACCCCACTTTTTTGGGGAGGGGACCATGATGTGAAATTGTGCGAGATTGCAGCGACCAAAATGGCTGCCGCGCTCTAGCAATGAAAAAAGGGGAAGATGTTGCTTCAGAAGATGTCGCCCTGGATTTTGCCTTCAAAGTGTTGGAGGGTATGAAACTATGGAGGGGCTACAGATGCATGGTGGGCAGAAATACAAAGCTGGGAGACTGAAACTGATTGGAGATGGAGATGTTAGAAGGAGAAGCCACATACTCAGTGACTACTACTAGGCTAGCCATGATGGCTAGGCTTTACTCCATGTTTGGAAGAAGGAGTAGGCCTCTGAATGCTGGTTGCGAGGAATCACAAGTGAGAAGAGTGGTCTTGTGCCCAGATTCCTCTTGAGAAATTCTCATTGGGTCATCTGGTTGACCAACATGAGAACTGGATGCTGGCTGATCCAACAGATGTTCAGATATTCTTAAGAACCACATTGCAGCTTTGGCTTGAAACCCCCAACAAAACCACAACCATGAGCTGTAGTTCTGTAGCTAAATGTGCAAAGCCCTCAGCCTCAGGCCACTTAGCTGCCCAAGTCACGGAGGGGGTTCCCATGACCACGTTAGACTCATGGGCGTGCAGTTCCATCACTATTATATAAAGCGTTGATGTTGTTGTTGCAAAATAGGAGATCAATCCCTAGTGCTCTCTATAGGTGAAGGAAATTGAAATTGAATTGAAATACTTTATTGTCGCTTGTACAACTTGTATAGATTGAGATTACACGAGCACTCCCCACTCAGCTCTCTTAGTCTTATTTCCCCTCGTTTACTGACGCACACACACCAAATCCAAAAGTCAGTTGCCCTGTTGTTATCTTTTCATTCAGCAGCCTAACAGCCCACGGACAGAAGCTGTTAGTCGCCTGTTGGTGCGACTAATCCTGCTTCTATATCTTCTGCCTGAGGGCAGGAGATCAAGAAAGTGCCGGCCAGGGTGTGAATCATCCCTGAGAATTTTCCTCACTCTCCTGAGGTAATGTTCTTCTGCTATTTCATCCAGTGGATTCACGGGACAGCCCATAATATCTTGTGCTGTATTCACCACCCTCTGTAGGCACTTCCTATCAGTTGGTGTCAAACCAGAGTACCACACTGTGATGCAGTATGAAAGGACACTTTCTATTGTTGACCGGTAGAAGATCATCAAATGTTGATTGACATCGTTCTTTCTCAATATTCTGAGGAGATAGGGAATGCCCCTATCTGGCAACATCGCCTCAGATGTTAGGAAGGGGCTTGGACTAGATGACACTTGGGATCCCTTCCAAATCTACGATGCTAAGCTTCAGGAGAAAGAGAGAGAGAGATCTTACCTGCCGCACCCAGGAGAACTGCCAACAGGAAAATCGCCATTGTGTCACAACGAGACAGAACAGTGGTCACCCTGGATCTTTTATATTTTAGCCATCGCCTCCCCTAATCTCACAGCTGCTCAGTTGACAGGCCAAAAATAGAAAGAACAGCCCCCACTATCTACGTTTTGAGGGAAATAGTTGTCAGTTCCACCTGACACATTCCCTGGATGGGAATTTTAAAATAACCCAGAACGGCGCACCCTGTTCTAAAAGCAGTCAAGGTAATGTAGGCCTTAAAGCAAAGAGTCGTTTCTTCCTCCTCCTTCTGCAGTCCGTTCTCAGCACTCAGGCTTCCATGGACTATTTGCCTTCTCTCTCATAAGCCGCTATTTGGATTTTTGAGACCTAAGGGTGTTAATGGCAGCCACAGCTGGACAGAGCAACCAATCTGTAGGCAAGTGAGGCAAATGGAGTTTTGGATCCAGGAGATGTTGGGTTCTCCTGGCTAAACTGGGGTTGTGCTGGTGCAAATTCAGCTGGCTTAAACCCCTCAAATGGGACATCCAGGAGGACTTGCACCAGTTCCAATCCTCCCTCACTTCAGCCATGTGGACCTAGTAACCCGTGAAAGAGGGCTGGGAAACTGTGGCCCTCCAGATGTTGATGGACTCAGGCATAGCAGCTTGGCCCTGCAACTGTGGCCTTGGCGCCGCAATCTGTGGGTGCCCGGCCCCTTCATGGGGAATTTTGTGGGTGCTCAGGCACCCAGGACCCCAGGGAGCTGGCATCTATGGATGGACTCATCTGTCACCTGGGAGATGGAGCAAACTTGTTTTCGCCTGCTCTGGGAGTCCACGTCATCTTTCATGCCACACACAACACTTCACTCCGATTGTGATGGTGAACAGGCCGGCCGATGTGAGCAAACAAAGCTATTCGCAGTCAGCTGCCGGCCTTGAATGTTGCTCCACGATCGATGAGCCTCACTCAGGCAAGACACCTCACTTCCCCCTGAGGGTTGGACTGTCCTGCCATGACTTTTAATAAGTACAGGTTTTTGTCCCCGCGCCAAAGAAACGGAAAGGGTCAAGTTTACTCCGACCGCAATTAAATTACTAGCGCTTAATGGGTTGCTAATTTCACCAAAGGACAGCTTGACTGGCAACCCTGGCGCGGAAACACAAGGACAAACTTGTTTGCCAGCAGATGACGGTCTGGGCTTGGCAGGTGAAGTTTCTGCACCTTGCCAAGTTAAACACACTTCAAAGGCACCTGTCTGGGAAAAATATGTACCCTCAGAGCAGGGGCGAATTTCCGAGGGGGTCAGGGAACAAATAGTATTTGGCTGCAAGCTGTAAGATATCCCAACGGCAATCTCACACACATGCCATGTTTGAAAGCTGGTTTAAACTAACCACAATTACCTTGAATTTCCGCTTAACCCTCAAGAAAGAAAGGCATTTTTGCTGGCCAGCTTTAATTCAAATCCATCCAACCTCCTTTGGGGAAGGTTCTCAGGAAGGGTGGAAGAACTTGCCCATGTGAAGACCACCTGGTGGAAACCCTTACACATATGGTTCTTAATTGTAAACTATATGCTGATCTCCGCCAGCAATTTCTAGATCAACTCTGTATCCCCCAATGGAAACCAGAGTTGGAGGCCATACATTTTCTATTACTGGGGAATGATCAGGAGCTCACCAAGTTAGTGGCTAAATATCTCTATTTGGTTTTTTGTCGTTGAAATACACTGCAGACGTCTGATCTCTCCAGAGACCGAGAGATGTGATGATAGATTGTTCTGCCTCCTTTCTTTTAGCACATGTTTTGTGCCACTGGGGAAGTGGTAATTCTGTATTGATTTGTTTTGGTTTAAAATTATTTCTTGAATGCTGGTGCCACAATAGGTAAGAATTTAAAAATATGCACCGGTGTGAAGGTGTTCAGTGCAGATGTGTACGGGTTCACGTGGGTGTGTATTACTTACAAAAGTGTGTGCTTCTCCACACAGTGCATAACTATGGGAACTCACACTTGCAGGAGGCTGTGAGGGTCACCAACATGGATGGCTTTTTTTAAAAAAAGGATTGTTGGACAAATTCATAGGGGAGAAAGCTATTGATGGCTTCTAGCGGTGATGGCTCCACTCTGCTTCCACGGCTTCTGGATACCAGTACAGGAGGAGAGAAATGCTCTTGTGCTCAAATTCTTCTTGTGGGTTTCGTCTGGTTGGCTGTTGTGAGAACAGGATTCTGGACCAAATGGGCCATTGGGCTGATCCAGGTGAAAGAGGAGAGCGCAAAATATGGCCTGAAGCTCAAAAAAACGAAGATCATGGCCACTGGTCCCATCACCTCCTGGCAAATAGAAGGGGAAGAAATGGAGGCAGTGAGAGATTTTACTTTCTTGGGCTCCGTGATCACTGCAGATGGTGACAGCAGCCATGAAATTAAAAGACGCCTGCTTCTTGGGAGAAAAGCAATGACAAACCTAGACAGCATCTTAAAAAGCAGAGACATCACCTTGCCAACAAAGGTCCGTATAGTTCAAGCTATGGTTTTCCCAGTAGTGATGTATGGAAGTGAGAGCTGGACCATAAACAAGGCTGATCGCCGAAGAATTGATGCTTTTGAATTATGGTGCTGGAGGAGACTCTTGAGAGTCCCATGGACTGCAAGAAGATCAAACCGATCCATTCTGAAGGAAATCAGCCCTGGGTGCTCACTGGAAGGACAGATCCTGAAGCTGAGGCTCCAAGACTTTGGCCACCTCATGAGAAGAGAAGACTCCCTGGAAAAGACCCTGATGCTGGGAAAGATGGAGGGCACAAGGAGAAGGGGACGACAGAGGACGAGATGGTTGGACAGTGTTCTCGAAGCTACCAGCATGAGTTTGACCAAACTGTGGGAGGCAGTGGAAGACAGGAGTGCCTGGCGTGCTCTGGTCCATGGGGTCACGAAGAGTCGGACACAACTAAAGAACAACAGGAGCGATCTTCTTCTGTTCTCGTGTTCTTATGAGGTGGTCCCATTCGCCCACACTCAGCACCCCTGTCCACAAGTTCCCTGCGAAGAGGAATTGACTGTTAAACCACTCTGGGAATTGTAGCTCTGTAAGGGGGAATAGCAGCCCCCCCAACAACGCCCAACACCCTTAACAAACTACAGCTCCCAGAATTCCTGGAAGGAAGCAACAACTGCTTAAGGAGGTGTCATATTTTAAAGATAAGGGGCGCAGGACGCCTTAGGTCCTGGTTGTCTCAAGGACAAGGTGAAGCTTTGTATCCCAGCTCAGTCATTGAGGTCATCTGCAGGAGTGAGACTGGTTGTTCCCTGAGCTGGAAAGGCTCATTTGACCAAAAAAGAAAAAAAAGGAGCCTTTATTGTCATTTGCTCACTGTTGTGAAATTCTCTGGCAATAGAGAAAGCAGGTAACTTCCGTTTCCTGGGGGGAAAAATCTATTCTTTCAGGCCTATGCAGTCAATAAAGAAGGCATCTTTCCACAACAGTTAGCTGATTTCTGGTTTTAACTTGGTGTATGTTGTGTTTCTTTTTAATTGTGGAGGTTTATGTAAATCTGTTGCAATCTGCTTTATCTTTTTTTTGTTTTTTTAAAAAATAGAAGGTAAAGGTAAAGGGACCCCTGACCATTAGGTCCAGTCGTGACCGACTCTGGGGTTGCGGCACTCATCTCGCTTTATTGGCAGAGGGAGCCGGTGTGCAGCTTCCTGGTCATGTGGCCAGCATGACTAAGCTGCTTCTGGCGAACCAGAGCAGCACATGGAAACGCCATTTACCTTCCCGCCGGAGTGGTACCTATTTATCTACTTGCACTTTGACGTGCTTTTGAACTGCTAGGTTGGCAGGAGCAGGGACCGAGCAACGGGAGCTCACCCCGTCGCGGGGATTCGAACCGCCGACCTTCTGATTGGCAAGTCCTAGGCTCTGTGGTTTAACCCACAGCGCCACCTGCATCCCTCATTGTTTATAAATATATTTGCTTTAAAAAGAAAAAGAATTAAAGAAGTCTTGGATGCACCAGATGATGGTCTTATTATTTGCAGCGCTGAGTGACCTGAGGTCAAGCCTTAATAAAAAAAACATTTTAAGCAGCGGTGACACCAGAGACTAGCAGTTTGTTCATAATTGGTAGTGGTGTGGGAGTAAATTTTGAGGGGCAGGAACTTGTCATGAAATCTTCAGAACAGATTACGGGGAACCTCCAGCTCCTGGGCCAAATTAGGCCTGACAGGAATCTTCATATATTTTTCAGGGTGTCACCTGGTGATTGACAAGAGGGCAACCCCACCCGTCTGTCAGCGTGGCCTGTGGAGGAGCTCAGGATTTAGCCAGCCTAGATCCTGCTCCTCCCTCCCACCCTATAACCATCAAACCTGTTCCTAGCTAGACTTCAAGGCAACACATCAGATTTTATTATTGCCTGTGGCATGACTGCAGCTGTACAAGTGGTTGCCTGGGAGTAAGCTCCATGAAACACAGCAAGGCTTACTTCTCCGACGATATAATTTCAACTTGCAAAACACACTGGGCTTTAACAAAATATCTTCAGCCAGCTGGAATGCAGCACCTTTGGCTATTAATTAAACAATCCTGCAGAGAAACATCCACCATCTAAATTGCTATCCTGAAACAGGAGAGCGGTCAAAGGAAAGGGACGACGTACCCAGCCTCTCCTGGGTTATTTCCCAGAATGGCTTTTTTTTTTCTGTGATAATTTATCACAAACAAGCTTGAAAGCTACAAGGTCATATGTTTTCCAGGACAAGGAGGGTCTGTCCATTACCCTAGTACTCTGGAACATATCCTCACTCTTGCTGTGAAAATAGTCCCAGAGTTCTGTTTCCTTCTACTACACCACTGCAAATTTGTCTCCTAAGCAAACAGGGTGGAGATTAAACAGAAAGGCACATGTATTAGTGTATGCCATGCTACTGGACCATTGTAGGATGTTTCAAAGCTCCCCACAATGGCAAAACCAAGACGCCACGCTCTCCAAATTCTTAGGTTTTTAATCATTTATTATTTCGCTTGTGCGATTTTCTCCAAGCCCTGGAGGTGGCGCTAGGCAGCAGAAAATGTTCAATTGAAGCAACGGAAGCCTCATCGGTGAAGATGCAAACATACCTATTGTGGTTTAACTCAGTGTCAGGATCTGGGAAGGTCCCCCCAGGAATCACAACTAAATATCTGTGACAGATGACCCTCTAAGCTCTGCTTAAAAACCTCCAGTGAAGGAGAGTCCACCACCACTCATGGGAGTCTGTTCCACTGCCACCAGAAAGTTCTTCCATATGTTTAGTCGGAATCTCCTTTCTTGTAAACTTGAAGCCATTGCTTCAGTTCCTAACTTTGGGAGCTGCAGAAAACAAGCATGCTCCATCCTCAATGTGCCAGCCCTTGAGATATTTGAAGATGGCTTTGATACCTCCTGTCATTCTCCTCTTCTCCACGCTAAACACACCCAACTCCCTCAACTGTTCCTCATATGGCTTTGTTTCCAAAAGCCTTTATCATCTTGGTCACCCCCCTTTGCACACGTTGCAGCTTGTGCATATCCTCTTTAAATGGTGGTGCCCAGAACTGGACACAGGACTCCAGGTGTGGTTTGACCAAGGCAGAATAGAGCGGGAATATTCCTTCCCTTGATCCGGACACTAGACTGCAGCCTAGAATAGCATTTGCCTTTTTTGCTGCTGCATCACTCTGTTGACTCATGTTCAGCTTGTGGTCTATGAAGACCCCTGGATTCCTTTCACATGCACATGTGTCTCTCCCCCCCCCCAATCCTATATTTGTGCATCTGATTATTTCAAATATAGAAACTTACATTTGTCCCTGTTGAAATGCATAGTCAGAATGCTGAGAATTCTAGCTCCCTCTAACCTCGCGATATCTCCCCCAAAGTTCTTAAGGTGACAGAATGAGTGGCAGGTAGGGGAAGTTGGTGGGTGGCAGAAATTAAAGTCAGCTTGCATTTGAAAGAGAACTTACCTCGTTTGTGCTTTCCGAAGCATTGCGTGAATCAAATCGCAACTGTCCTTCGCACACTTTTTCGAATTTTGCGAGTGAGTCCTCAAGCCAGGTAATGTGTACAAGGATGCATATGCTAATGTTTGCAAAAAATAATAAAAAAATGCATGCGGTGGTGGAAAATAAGGAACGCCAAAATGGCTTTGCAAAAAAAGAGGTGTAATTATTGTTTTGTCGTTGCGATTTATTGCATGCCCACCACCCTAAGGTTCCCAATCAAAACACAATATTGCATTCAAGAATGTGTCTGTCGGGATGCATTCACAGCGAGAAGCAGGCGAATTTCCACAACGACCTTTGAACATAAATAAATAGAATGCAAACTGATGTGGAAATGTGGAGAACTCAGCTAGCGACTGGAGAAAAATGAGCTGAGAAAAACACACACCCTGAAATGCCTCTCCTTATTTTGTAGCTCATCGGTTGAAATGTCAACACTTTCCTCCCTCCCAAAGAAAGAATGCAACTCACAAATCAGCACTTCAGCAGGAAAGAAGCTTTATTCATTTCCTAAGCATGGGAGCATCTTTACAAGCAAAATGTATGAAAAAAAGAAGGCTTCCCTGAGCCTCAGCGACTAGTCTCTGCAGAAGGGAGAAAGGTGGGCGACATTAACTCTCACTTTGCAGCAGGTGGTAAACTTGGTCGGAGAGTATGTCCGTGTAGGTCTTAATCCTTGACACGCTGTTTTCGTACATGTTTCTGGAAAGGATAAAGGAAAGAAGGGTTGAAGATGTATAGTCAGTGGCCACATCCACACCATATATATTTAAAGCATAGTGGCGCCGCTTGAAACACTCATGGGATCCCCTTTTCCAAAGAATTCTGGGAGATGTAGTTTGTTAAAGGTGCTGGGTGTTGATAAGAGACCCCGCCCCCATTCCCCCAACAGATCCATAATTTACAGAGTTCCCTAGGAAGAGGGATTGGCTTGTGAAACCACTCTGTGAATTGTAGCTCTGGAAGGGGAATAGCGGGCCTCCTAACACTCTAAGCACCCTTAACAAATGAGAGTTCCCAGGATTCTCTGGGGGAAGCCATGACAGTTTAAAGTGCTATCATAGTTCTGCAAATACAGATTTTGAACTCGGAGTGGACCCAGTGAAATTAATAGATCTGAGTTAGTCATGTCCATCAATTTCAATTTCTGAGTATGAGTAACACTGGCTACAACCCGAAATTATTGGAAAACCTCCCTCCGTCCACCTTCTCTCTGGTTGTCCCCTGCCTTATTCTCACATTATTGGCTTTGTGACTTCCAGATTTTGGATTTTCTTTAGCCAGCACTGGGCTGTGCTGGAAACTTGTTCCCAGGCCCCTGTGACTTTCTCCTTAACTTGAGCGAACAGTTCCGGATCCTCGGCTTCTCGTTTCTCCAAGCGATAGCTGGAGACTTCTGCAAAAAAAGGTGAACAGAAAAGAAAAAAAGGTAAACTGTTAAGATTTGGGGGATGAATTGCTTTATTTATTGTTTGCGTTTCTCGGGTGATTGAAATGGTGACTTTTGTTTTGAAGTTATTGTAAGCTCCTGGGAGCTTCCTGTTCAAAGAGAGATGTAAATTCATTAAAGGAAATGAAACCACAGTTTGTTCGGTTTAGGCCTTTCCTTATGACCAGGGCCAGTCCATGGCATTTTGCCGCCTGAGGCGGAAGACAAGATGGCGCCCCCACCATTCTGTATACAGAGGGTGACTAGGCTGGCTGTGAAATCTTACTTTAAAGCCGGCATGCGGATAACATCTCCCCGCACACCTGAGGGCAATACGCTAATTTAGGGGGTCCCCTGTCAGAAATACCTCGGCTTAATGTGGATTGTGAACTCGTCGTGTCTCTTTTAATTGTGTGCCCAGGCAGAGACACACACACACACCCCGACCCCAAGGGCCACCCGGAAGAAATGAATGACTCGTGACAACATGTTATGAGATTAAATTGGCCAAAACTTTAATTAAACTTTCAGATGTAGGAAGACCTTGGCTTAGGCATTGGGCGCGTATCTCTCCCAGTCCCCAGCTGGGGATCTGAAGAAGAAGAAGAAGAAGAAGAGTTTGGACTTGATATCCCACCTTTCATTCCCCTTAAGGAGTCTCAAAGTGGCTAACAATCTCCTTTTCCCTTCCTCCCCTACAACAAACACTCTGTGAGGTGAGTGGGGCTGAGAGACTTCAAAGAAGTGTGACTGGCCTAAGGTCACCCAGCAGCTGCATGTGGAGGAGCGGAGACGCGAACCCGGTTCACCAGATTACGAGTCCACCGCTCTTAACCACTGCACCATGCTGGCTCCCTGATCTGAGGCACATCAGGGTAATCAGGTCTGTCTGGATTGGCTCTGGAAGACACCATTTCACACCAATGATGGGGAGTCCACTGACAACCTTTCAGCGTATGGCCAGTGACTCCCCTCCGACTCAGCCCCTTTAACGGGGAACCCTGGGATTGCTGCCGTGGGGGGTAGGGTATGCATCATCACTTCACGCCCCCGCCTCCAGGGCCGTATTTAGGTTTGATGAGGCCCTAAGCTACTGAAGGTAATGGGGCCCTTTATATGTCCAGCTGTCCTTTGTCAACAACAAATTGCCGCTGTTTTTTGTGTTGAATATATGCTATATGGTAATTTATGGACCTAATAGGTATCTCAAGCCATTTGCACATGTTGCCATGCAACCACTCCATGCAGAATGTAGGCACCCTATATACAGTGTTGCTGTATGTAGGTTTTATTTTAATTGTTTTTTATCTTACATTTTGGAAATGTACACCCAGTTGTTTTTTCCCTTTAATTTTTTTGGGGGTCCCCAAAAGAGAGTGGGACCCTAAGCAATAGCTTGTTTAGCTTATACGTAAATCCAGCACTGCCCCCCCCCATTTAGTTGTGACATCTGCTACGGGGAAGGCGAAACCTGCCAATGCAGAGAAATTCCTTCCCAGTCCCTTAACAGCAGGGGGGGGGAGCTCTGGAGCTGACTGTGCGCTTTCAGGTAGGCTCCGCCCCTTTCAACTACGCAAATAGCTCCGCCTCCCCCTGCCACAGATAGGTTCGTTCGAACTGAGGCTTGGCGGGAACCCCAAAGGGCTGTGACATGGGGAGGCAGACCAGGAACTTCTGCCGTTGTCTCAGGGATCGGGGCACCGCGTGCGGCCACACAAATGGCGTTTTCCAGTTTTGATGGGAGAGTGGTTATTCCACTGTGGCGTTCGCCTCCAACTGCTGCTGCCCTCTCTTCCGTAAATCTGGAGATTCCCTATGCAATCAGTGTAGTTCCCTGGATTTTCAAAGCCAAAGGAATCTCCAGATTTAAGGAGGAGAAGTGTGACGTGGAGAAGGGGCAGGGCCGTCTTACCCATAGAAGCTAGTAGTGCAGGGCGCTAGGGCGCCAAGTTCTGGAGGGCGCCAGGGAAGAGGCGAAGGCTGGATGTGGCATCAGCTCGCCGCCCTCGCCCGCCTTCGCCATGCCGCGCCGAAGCAGCACTGCGCCCGGAGCCTCCGTCTGCCGTGGCCACCACAGCACGAAGTGGCCAGCTGAGCCAGGAGGCGCCGCGTTCAGTCTCCGCCTCTTCCCCGGTGGAGGAGCCGCCCTCCAGCTGCTGCCCGCCTCCTCCAGCCCCACTGGCAGCACCATCCTACCTAAAAAAACGCTGGGAAATAGGGGGTGGCGGCGCTGGAGGGAGCTTTGAACCACGGCACTGGATATGCTTAAGACGGCCCTGAGAAGGGGGAAGGAATTCAAGGAGATGCAAGGAATTTGTAATCCACATTAAGTCAAAGTATGGACGGGCCCCTAGGGACGCAGGTGGCGCTGTGGGTTAAACCACAGAGCCTAGGACTTGCTGATCAGAAGGTCGGCGGTTCGAATCCCCGTGACGGGGTGAGCTCCCATTGCTCAATCCCTGCTCCTGCCAACCTAGCAGTTCGAAAGCAAGTAGATAAATAGGCACTGCTCCGGCGGGAAGGTAAACGGCATTTCTGTGTGATGCTCTGGATCGCCAGAAGCGGCTTAGTCATGCTGGCCACATGACCCGGAAGCTGTACGCCGGCTCCCTCGGCCAATCAAGCGAGATGAGCACCGCAACCCCAGAGTCGGTCCCGACTGGACCTAATACCTTTACGTTTATGGACGGGCCCTTATCCCTCAACAGGGAGGAATGGCATGGGGCTCTGGAGGAACAGCCAAAGAACTGCCATCATTGTCCGTCCCCCTCATCACCATAGCATCTGCAGCCTGAGACAGTTGCCTCAGTCTGCCTAATGGTAGCGTTGGTTCTGCTTACAAGAAGTAGGAGTGTAAATGAGGTGCAAGCTTTTTACATTTAGATCGTCAGCAATATACAGTGGTACCTCGGGTTAAGTACTTAATTCGTTCCGGAGGTCCGTTCTTAACTTGAAACTGTTCTTAACCTGAAGCACCACTTTAGCTAATGGGGCCTCCTGCTGCTGCTGCGCCGCTGCTGTGCGATTTCTGTTCTCATCCTGAAGCAAAGTTCTTAACCTGAGGTACTATTTCTGGGTTAGCGGAGTCTGTAACCTGAAGCGTATGTAACCTGAAGTGTATGCAACCCGCGGTACCACTGTATAGTCCTTCCATGAGGACTAGTGGCAAATTATAGCCTTACCAAAAGGTTAAAGCACACGTTTTCACTTCCACGTGTCTCAGTTCAGCATGCCATGAATGCCAAAAGACGCGTCTCACTCTGAAAAATGTTAATGTTTTCAGAACAAAAAGTTCTCATGGACAGATTCTGATTAAAGCTGCCACATCAGAATATATGATAGTACTGTTGCCACCAACTCCTCCCCCCAGGCAGCAATTCAACAGGTGACCTCCTGCAATTAAGGATGGGGTTCCTGTACCTTTAATTAGAGTTGCCATATGTCCGGATTTTCCAGGATCTTAGACAAGTGAATCGAAAAATCGCTTTTTTAGGGGCATTCATGAACAGAAGCTCAAAAAAGCTCAAAAACTTTTGGGGTGTCCTGGTTTTTACTTTTTGAAATATGGCAACCCTACCTTAACTGTGCAAAAAATTTGGAAGTGCAACTTATCTTGCAAAGAGAACCAAAAGGCTGAAGCAGTGACATTCCACCTCTCACATAAATCTCCGTCTTCTGCATCCTGACTTGCATTTTATCAGCTTAGTGGGGTTTAGATGCACACAAACGGTAAAAAGCGCAGGGAACTTTTGGATTCATTGCAACCATTTGGGATGTGCCCTGTTCAAGGGCCCTTTCGCCTGATCCTACCTGCCTTTTACACTGCACATCAGAACATAAAACCACTCGTGATTTCCACTTTATCGGAGACTGCACAGCCGTCAACTGCTGTACACACCACAAACATTTAATGCACGCTTTTTTGCCGCCACCCCCCGAAAGCATCCTGGGAACAGCACATCTTTAAACTGTGGAACTCTCTGCCACAGGAAGCAGTGGTGGCTGCCCACCTGGAGGCTTTAAATGAGGATTGGACCAATTCATGGAGGAGAGAGGCTATCAGTGGCTACTGGCCAAAATGGCCGTGCCTCTGCTGGGAGCCACAGGAGGAGAAATGCTCTTGTGTTCAGGTCTTGGTTGTGTGTTTGGCATCTCAATGGCCGCTGTGAGAACAGGTTGCTGGGCTAGGATGGGCCACTGGTCACTTTTTATGTTCTTATGATTCACCCCTCACAGAGCTACAGTTCCCAGCAGCCTTAACAAACTACAAATCCCAGCGATTTGGGTGCACTCGCTTTCAATGTACGGCGCATACAGATATCCATATACAGACACGCCTTCTCAAATCAGCAATCGGAGGAAACTTGCCTGAGCAGAAAAGCACTAACAGGATCGACACGGCCACAAGTTTCAGATCCATTTTCACAACCGCCGCCTAGGATGTCGAAACACAAACATTTGCTTAGGTAAACCAGGTTAGGAAACAGGCAAAGCTGAGCCCCTCGTGGGATATAGCGGGTCCTGCTGTTTCCCAGCCAAAACAAATCCCCCCCCCCCCATGCAGCTCAGTCGGTTAAGCGCGAGACTCTTGATCTCTGGGTCAGGGTCATGGGTTCGAGCCCCATGTTGGGCAAAAGAATCCTACATCGCGGGGGTTGGACTAGATGACCCTCGTGGTCCCTTCCAACTCTACAATTCTATGATTCTATTATCTTTATTATACTTTTTGTTTTTAAAGAGCCAGAGCTGGACCTAGACTGTGGAGATACATTTCAAATACTCTGCTGTGAAGTTCGCAGAATGACCTGGGGCCAATCACTGTTTCTCAGTGTAGCCCACCTCACAGGGTCATTGTGATGATAAAGGGGTGGTGGTCTTGGATGAAAGGCAGAGGGCACGAGATGGCAGTCGATATCTTATTCATCCCTATCCACTTACTGCGGAGTCCCTGGAGTTGCTGACCCAACGGCCATGATATGTGTTTGCTGAAACATTTTGAATCTCACAAATAAATTGTTGCCAGATAAAACGCAGTCCTTTCTCACCCTCTGTGCTAGGAGGGAGGGTTGCAGTGTTCGGGGTTTTTATTTTTAAGTTGAATTCAGCCAAATGAGCAGATTCATCACACACAAAAAACACATTTTGCTTTCGTTGATGCAAGGCAAACAACTCTGGCAATAGAACAACACGGTTGGGAGACATCTGGAAATCATTGCCAGGTCAAAGGCTATCAATGGCTACCACTAGCCACAGCTGGCTTTTTTCTACCCTGTTGGAGGCAGGATTGATTGATTGACAAGTGGGGACAGCTGCTGTTGCATTCTGGTCCTGCTTGCAGGGTAATGTGCATTCTGCAGTGACCTCCTTTGCAATGTCTTATTTTGAAATCTTTCAGATGGCATTTTAGCTTACTTGTTAATTTGCATCGTCTTGAATGTATACTTTATATTTGATTTTCTTTTGCAATGCTTTATTCTGGATTGTTTTTTTTAAAAAATTATATTTTTATTGAATTTTACATTACAAATTTAAATTCAAACGTTAATCATCAACACCCTCATTTAGGAGTCCCTCAATGCTTCGACTTCCCTCTGCCCTTCTGTGGTTACCTTTGTCAATCTTTTTCTTTTCAACTGCTTCCTTTAATTTTCTCTATTATTTTTTTAAAAAAGAATCCATTTCTACCTGTTTTTCGTACTATTCTGGATTGTTTTATTTGACATTCCAACGGAGGTTGTAAACTGCTTTGAGATTTTAAAAATATATATATATAAACTACGGGGCGCGGGCGGCGCTGTGGGTTAAACCACAGAGCCTAGGGCTTGCCGATCAGAAGGTCGGCGGTTCGAATCCCCGCGACAGGGTGAGCTCCCATTGTTTGGTCCCAGCTCCTGCCAACCTAGCAGTTCGAAAGCACGTCAAAGTGCAAGTAGATAAATAGGTACCGCTCCGGCGGGAAGGTAAACGGCGTTTCCGTGTGCTGCTCTGGTTCGCCAGAAGTGGCTTTAGTTATGCTGGCCACATGACCAGGAAGCTGTACGCCGGCTCCTTCGGCCAGTGAAGCGAGATGAGCGCCGCAACCCCAGAGTTGGTCATGACTGGACCTAATGGTCAGGGGTCCCTTTACCTTTACCTTTATATATAAACTGGTATAGAAATGAAAACAACAATTTGATAGCTCCTATAAGAATAGGATGCTGGACTAGAACATTTCGACCTGATCCAATTAATCTTCTTATGTGCTTAATGAAGCTACCATAAATTCACAGTACACATTTCGAAGTATAATGCTGAAGGCTGCCGTTCAGTAAAGCTGAGGAGGGGAACATGTGACTGGACTACAACTCCCATCATACCTGACCGCTGGCCATGCTGGCTGGGGCTGATGGGAGTTGGAGTCCAACAAAGCATCTGATGGACCACAGATCCTCCAGCCTTGCAGGAACAGCTGCAAACTTTTCAATAGCCTCTGCCTTTCGTATCTCTAATCCCTGTCCGAGATGCAGGGATTAAGCAGGTGAAGCTCTCCCCGGCATTAGATATTTAGTGGGAAACTTGCTATGTTTCGGCGTGGAAACACGTTAAAGCCACAAGAGCATGTCCGGTGGAACAGACTCCCACAAGATCTAGGTGAGATTCCTGCATTGCAGGGGGTTGGACTAGATGGCCCTCGGGGGGGGGGGGGAGTCCCTTCCAGCTCTACAATTCTATGAAATACGGCGGCTAGTAGAAATGGAGACTTACCTCTCAGTTTAAATTGCTGCGTTCCTTCCTTTTTGCTTTTAGGGAGACCTAAAACTAAGCAAAGAAGATATACAGGTAAACAGAGCCCATTATGGAAAAACGGTCTGCTCTTGACCTCCTTAGAACAAGAATTCCAAAAAGCCTGTTTGATTTCCTACCTTGTTCTCAAATAAGCAAAAATATAAATGGACTGTGGGCAAGGCATCCGAGGACAACAGACATTTTTTTAAAAAGGTGGGGGAATTATAACACCAGTTCCTAAATTCTGCAACACTCCCCCTCCCCCGGCATTGGTCCCTGGGTCTCCAAGGAGCACATCTTAATGTGACGGATCTCCCCGTTGGGTCCTGGCGTGGCCTCAACTTCCTCATCTGTTGCATGGGTACAGGAGTGAAGCACGCAGACAACTTCTCTCCCCCATTTTCCCTTGTCAAACCTGGCTCCTGCTGGTCTTTCCAAAGGTACAAGGGAGGTGGCCGCAGAGTTAAGCCCCTGAGCAGACAAGCACACTCACTCTCTGCAGCCGTCGTCGTCCGTGTTACCCTTCCCTGTCCCAGAATTAGCCACCGCGCATTTATATGAGACGGCGCTCTTGCACCCACAGCCCCACCTTCTCCCACAATCCTCCTGGCCAAATGGCACATCCCCTGACATGTCCAAAGTGCAAGCAAACAGGTCTGAGCTGCAACATTGATGGACGAGAGTTTCCAGCAAATATTCGCCATTAGGAGCCAGCAGACTGTGGGGCTCAGCTGAACAAGAGTTGGGACACTGCCCATTGATAAAGTTATCCCATCCATTACCAACTTTGGAGGCCCGAGAGTTTAGGACATGAAGCAGCGCCCTTCTGGATCAGATCAAAGGTCCATCTAGCCCAGTGTTTCCAAAACCTGGGTCTCCACCTGTTTTTCGGGCTACAGTCCCCATCATCCCTGACCACTGGCCCTGCTAGCTAGGGATGATGGGAGTTGTAGTCCAAAAACCACTGGCGACCCAAGTTTGAGAAACGCCGATCTGGTCCAACGTCCCGTTCTCACAGTGGTCAGATAGATGCCTTTGGAGGCCCCTCTCGGAGTGCAACAGTGCTATCCCCATCTTGGGATTCGCAGAAACTGGTACCTAGAGACATACTGCCTCCCACAGGGGCTGTTAGCTACTGGCTGCCCCTGGCCTAATCCGCATGGAACCAGCGCTCCATATTAGCAGCTTAAAATGCAGTGAGGTCACGGGAGGCAGGGATGTCTTCGCCTGATACACAGGACCTCCAGGGGTCCTGATTTTCCAGTCCCGGAATTACAAAAGCCGCCCCTGGCTTCTGATTTGATCCCAGAAGGTCCCTATTTCCCCTGCCAGCGCTGAGTTCTGGGAGCAGGAAGAGCCGGCGTTTGTCCAAAGTGATGACGATGGCGGCTGTGAGGGAGCATCCCATTGCCTCTCCATGGCTGCCACTGCCAGCCTCCTCCCTTGGGCAACTCATAATAATAATAGTTAATTTTATTTATACCTCGCCCTCCCTGGCCAGAGCCGGGCTCAGGGCGGCTAACACCAATAAAATTAAAAACATAATAGGGGAAAAAGAGAGGGGGGAACCAATTTAAAATAAAGGTTAAAATGCAATTTAAAATGCAGCCTCATTTTAAAATAGCTGATAAATCAAGACCATAAGGGGAGGGAAACATAAGGGTCAGACCGAGTCCAAACCAAAGGCTCTGTCTTGCAGGCCCTGCGGAAAGATGTCAAGTCCCGCAGGGCCCTGGTCTCTTGTGACAGAGCATTCCACCACGTCGGGGCCAGTGATGAAAAGGCCCTGGCCCTAGTTGAGACCAATCTAACCACTCTGCGGCTCAGGACCTCCAAAGTGTTGTTATTTGTGGACCTTAAGGTCCTCCGTGGGGCATACCAGCTTCTGGAGAGCAGAGCAGGAGAGGCTGGCACCCCTGAGGCCCAGCCCTGTGTTGTTACACTGGCTCTGAGGGGCAGGCAGAGGGCAGGGCTGCCCTGGGTGGGAAGAAAGGGGGAGCGGAGCACAAGGAGTCTTGGTGTGTGTGTGTGTTAAAAAAAGATGCTTTGTGATCAAAAATCCAAATTAATTTCCATTATTAAGTGACTTCCTCGAATCCTTCCTGCTGATTTTCATTAAATCTCATTTAGCAATTTTCCAATATTCACTTTCTAATATAATTAACTAGTTCAAATTATTAACTTCCTTTCTTTTCATCATAATCTCAATCCATAGTATTATACAATTCAACATACTTTAATCCTAAACCAATTTGATACTTGCAAGTATTATAATATTTAGCTAGATATTCCTTAAATTTCTTCCAATCTTCTTGATATTTCTCCTCTTTATGATCACAGATTCTATATGTTTGTTTGTTTTTCTTTTTATATGTTTTGTTTTTTGTGTTGTGTTGTATTGGTTATAAATTTGGAAAATTAATTTTTAAAAAATTGAACAGTAAAAAAGATGCTTTGTGCGTCTGCATCTAATTCCACCCCTTTCTTAAATTTATTTATTGGTGTGTGTTTCTCTTTTTGTAAATCTGCCAAAGAATAAATTAAAATAAAAAACGTGATTAAGGGGTTTTCTCACGATGGTGGAGAACGTGTGTGCTGTTTTTCATTGGTGACAAAGTCGCCCTTCTTTGGGTAGCAAATGCTCAGCACGGACAAAAATTTTCACCAGAGGGAGAAACTCACGTCATTTGAGGGAAAACGTGTCAAAGGGAAAAACTGGAACACTATATTCTGGGATGCCATCTTTCCATTTGTTTCTCCTGAGAGCACAGTGGTCATTTTGGGCGCTGTGATCTCTCATGTCATGGTTCCCCCCCAAGATTATGGCCACAGGGAAGGGGGAACTATGGTGTGCCCAAAATGGCCGCCATGTTCTTGCTAGGGAAAAAAACGGAATGTCACAGTTTTTGCAGGACAGTTGAGGGGGGTTGGGTATGTTCACATTACTGCTTCCGGTTTTCTAATTGGATTGAAGCTGGTTTGAGGGGAAAGCACTCATCGAACAACAGGATTTGTCAAGAAACTACAGGATTGCCATGCATCATGAGTAATGTCATACGAATGTGATTTCGAAAACTAGCAGTGGTTGTGAGCCACAATGGGAACATGGCCTCACAAGAGCAGGCCCTGAGGTTGCCCTCGCCTGCACGCCTCCCTTCCTCCTTCCTCAGGGCAAAGCTGGACAGCTTCAGTCCACAACAAGTGTGTGTGTGTGTGTATTTAAGTTTTCTGTTTTATAAATTTAGAGTATTCATTTAAATAACCTTAAAATATCAATGACTTCCCTTCTTCTCTTTCCATGGTTCGTTTTACATGACATAAATCCCTGCATATTTTACATAAACTAAACCATTCAATATTCCATTATTACATCCATCAAAACTTATTTACACTGTTGAATTTATCTTAATGCTGCCAATGTTTTCAAGTGTACACAATTTCCCCTCATATATTCAAGAAATGTTTTCCAATCTTCTTTAAACATATGTTTTTCTTGTTCTCTTATTCTATATTTTAGGTCTGCAAGCTGCACATATTCCATCAGTTTAAGTTGCCGTTCTTCTTTAATTGGGACCTCGCTTGTGGGCTGGTCCACAACAATTTGTAGTGATTTCAGATGGAACAGCGAAGGCATTGGCTCTGATGGGCACTTTTCTAGGAGGAGGAGGCCTCAATGAACATGGCTGCCTTGGTGTTGAGATAAGATGGAAGCAGACCAGAGTGTCTGGGGAAACCCAGCCAGATGGGCGGGGTATAAATAATAAATTATTATTATTATTATTATTATTATTATTATTATTATTATTAATTAGTACAGTGGGATGATTCTGAATGAGGAATTGGGCTCACACACCATCTTGCCCTGGAGGATATCTCAGTCAGCAGAGCACGAGACACTTAATCTCAGGGCTGTGGGTTCAAGTCTCACATTGGACAAACGCAGTACAGGAGGTTGAACTAGTTGACCCTTGAGGTCCCTTGTAACTCTATGATTCCATGATTCTATCCGCAGCAGCAAAGTGTTAACTATGCCTGAATACAACACAGGAACCTCCCTGGAAAAATTCCACAAAGATGCAGGTTGGGCATAATTTTTCTCTCTCTGTGACAGTCATACCTCGGGTTACAGACGCTTCAGGTTGTGCTTTTTCAGGTTATAGAGCTGCCAAAACCCGGAGGTATCGGAACGGATTACTTCCGGGTTTCGGGGGTCGCGCATGTGCAGAAGCGTTAAATTGCGCTTTGCGCAGAGGCACTGAATAACAACCCGCGCATGTGCAGATGCGCCGCTGCGGGTTGAGAACGTGCTTTCCACACAGATCACATTCGCAACCCGAGCGTCCACTGTATACACAGTGTGGAAAGTAGTTGTGTGAACGCACTGACTGCACCAGAAGCAGTGGAACAAGGCCTTCCCCCCCAACCCGCCACACCCGGCCAGTCTGTGCTCGGTGATGTCTCCATCCCAGCCCCGGGCTGGACCTTTCTTTGAAGCGCCTCCCCCAGCAATGGGCAAGGCCTGGTAGGCTGCAAGTCCAAAGGGCTGTTTATTCAAGGATGCAAAGTGATGAGCAGGCAGAGTTTGGGCAGACAAGGACAGTTTGCTTAGGCCTTGTGCAATGTTTGTCCCCGGTCACTGATCAACCAACTTTATTCTGGAGGAGCTTCAAAAAAACCAACCCACCCCCCACCTCTCACAAGCAGAGGAAATCTCTAGGCACCAAGCGGGGGACTTGGCTGGGGGGGAGGAGAAGACACTGCTGGTTTATAACTAAGATCCATCAGTGTGGCTTCCTGATAAATACTCCTTTCTGAGCACCATCAATCAACCCTGGAACATGTGATGGGAGTATAACAACAGGGGCTGCTTGAGAGCATCCAGTATGCCACTTTGTCAACCTGATGCCTTCCAGATGTTTTGGACTACAACTCCCATCAGCTGGGACTGATGGGAGTTGTAGTCCAAAACATCTGGAAGGCACCAGGCTGACAAAGGCCATAATATGCTTTTCTAGGGAGCGACACATTTCAGGGATTAGGGGGGAAAACTTTCTCCTCCAAGCAATGAGGCTTCCAGGCAGCCCAGACACATTTCTTTTTCAGATATTAACAACTGTTCTCAGATTTTATTGCTATTGTTATTACAGTGGTGCCTCGCAAGACGAAATTAATCCGTTCCGCGAGTCTCTTCGTCTTGCGGTTTTTTCGTCTTGCGAAGCACGGCTATTGGCGGCTTAGCGGCTATTAGCGGCTTAGCGGCTTTAAGAAAAAGGAAACAAACTCGCAAGAACTCGCAAGACGTTTCGTCTTGCGAAGCAAGCCCATAGGGAAATTCGTCTTGCGGAACGACTCAAAAAACGGAAAACTCTTTCGTCTTGCGCGTTTTTCGTCTTGCGAGGCATTCGTCTTGCGAGGTACCACTGTATAAGGTTGCCAGCCGACCAGGAAGAAGAAAAGCTATTTAAGCCCCCTGCTTTAGACAGCAGTTTGATATCGAGACATGAGCAAATGTAGCTTTTCACTGTGATAGGAATTTTGAGGTCTTAGATATATGGCAATGTTCATAACCGCACGTACATAGATCAGCACAGGAAGACCGACCTGAAGCCATTTTGATTCCTAAACTGAGCAAATGTTTTCTCTGCAAGGTCAAAGGAAAATGGAAAAGCCTCCCCATTGTCTTTTCCTTCACAAATCCTGTCTTAAGGGTATGTCTGTGTTTGAATAGGGTGTGAGCCTGTGACATGGCCCAGGAACTAAGTATTTATCATTACAAAAGATTAGCCAGGCTCCCCAGGCAATCCAATCAAGTAACCTGCCAGACAGGAGATAAACAAGGACAGGAGAAAAACAACATTCAAATTTCTGTTTAGACCGCCTTTTCTGTGATGTAGGTATGATGTATCTGAGGGGTGGTCTTAGGTTACACCCCTTCTGTGATGTATGTATGATGTTTCTGGGGGTGGTCTTGATCTACAGGGTGGCAATTTCAAAAGTCTTTATAAGGCCTTGCGGCCATTTTTCTGGGTCTCCCTCCTCCTCTCCTGCGGGTGTGGGAAGCACCCTGTTGCAACAGTTCAATAAAGATCAAGCTTACTAGCTGCTTTGCTTCTCAGTATTCTCTGGTTGGCCTCTGCTGTTCTGTCCTACCAATAGGGAACCTATGTAAGGACTCTATATGGGCTCTTGGATACCCCATAAGGGAAAAGGCCAATTTTTGTTTACAACATCACCCAGCGTTAAGGGAACTATGAACTTCCCCTGATTCCTGTAGCTGCAGCTTTTGTTTCAAAAAAGAAAAGAAGAAGTTGGCAACCTTCCAGTTGTGGGCGATCGCTTGTCTGTGTTATTTACTCATTTCCCTTTTTCTGAATCTCCCCTTTCCACCCAGAAGGGGAGCAGACGCACAGGAGGTCAGGAAATGTTGCCCTGATTCCATGCGGGCTTGAAGAGCGTTGAAAAGACTTTTATTCCAAGATCGAGGTGACAGCCCCATAAACTTTGCAATGCAAAGGAGAGCGAGAAACCAGTTTGGTTTGGTACTGATGGTGCTCATCCGTACATACACACAGACACACACCCACTCTGCACCCACCAATCCCCTCACACGCCCTTCCCTCTCTCCTGCTATGGAGATAAAAATTGTGTCTTCCTTTCTACAGCGGAGAGGATATGCTTTGGGGTGTTCAATGCGGCGACAGCACAAAATAACTTGAGATGGAACCTCTCCTGCAGCCTCACCACCTTAAAAAAGGTCTATGCCTGGGGTGGCGGGTGGTGCTGTGGTCTAAACCACAGAGCCTAGGGCTTGCCGATCAGAAGGTCAGCGGTTCGAATCCCTGCGACGGGGTGAGCTCCCGTTGCTCAGTCCTTGCTCCTGCTAACCTAGCTCCACAAGATGCACCTGATCATAAGACGCACCTAGTTTTTAGAGGAGGAAAACAAGAAAATAAAATTCTGAATGAAACAGTGGATGTATGATTTTTGTTGTTCATGCTGTGGCCACAGACATGTGATTTGATGGTGAGTTTGGGGTATACCAATGCAAAAATCCTGAGAATCCATGTGGATCCGTGCTTTGTTACCATGTTTTTGTGCCATTGCGGCCCAAAGCAACAGTGGATGCGTGATTTTTTTGATGCAGGCTATAGCGATGGACATGCTATGTGATCTGATGGTGAATTTGGGGTGACCCAATGCAAAAATCCTGAGGATCCATGGGCTTTTACCTTCCCCCTCCCAGGCAGCCTCCTTTATCTCTAGCGCCAATCAGCTGCTTCCTTTCAACACTCCCTTCCCTCTTGTTTGCCTTAGTGTCTTTTCGTTAGCTGGAGCAGTTTTTTGCTCCTCCTTTTCTTCTAATTTCTCTCCTCATTGCTTTAGTCTTCTGGTCTCCTCTCCTTGCAAGTTTGCTGTCTTTACCTCCCCCCTCCCAGGCAGCCTCCTTCATCTCTAGCATCCCTTATCTCCCTCCCGATCACTTGCGGATTAGCGGCTTTGTTTCAACACCCACTTCCCTCTTTAAAAAAAAAAAAAGCATGATCTGCTTTTCTCCCCTGGGCAATTCAGCTCCAGGGACCACACATTCGCTCCATAAGATGCACTGACATTTTCCCTTACTTTTTAGGAAGAAAAAAGTGTCTTATGGAGCGAGCAAAAATACGGTATCTATGTTGGATATTCTCTGTGTGTGTGTGAGAATCATTTGTTCCAGAAACAGAGAAGAATGGAGAAGATTCAAGAAGCAGCAGAAGGCTGAGATTGTTTTGTCTATGCAAGGACATTTTCTGTGGGAACTCGGCCCTCCAGCTGTTTTGGGACTACAATTTGCACCATTCCTGACCACTGGTCCTGTTAGCTAGGGATGATGGGAGTTGTAGTCCCAAAACATCTGGAGGGCTGAGTTTGGGGATGCCTGTTCTAAATCATCCATCAGAGGTTGATGGATTGATCCAACAATCTAAGCCCACCACCCTCCAAAGTCCAACTTGGAAAAATGGGTTGGGACCATTCACCTGTCCATCACCTGATGTCACAATGACATCAGGGAAATGACACCTATTTGAGGCTGTGTACATACTAGACTTCAAACACGTTGAAAGTATATTCTTTGCCTCAAAGAATTGTGGGTGCAGTAGTTTACTCCTCACAGGGTTTCCATTCTCAGCAAATGTGCTTTAAAGGTATATTGCATATATACGGACCTGAGTTCAGGAGAAAGTTGCTCTAAGTGATGACTAGATGATTGGCAGTTGCAGCAACCTCCTTTGAAGGTGCTTGGCATTAGGAGTGCACCTTCAGAAGAGGTTTAGGATTGCGATTAATGGGAAACCCTTTGCAGTCCCTACAGAAAGAAAAATTAAAAGCAGAGCATTTTTCCCTCTGCAGAGGAAGCGGATTAAAATCAAAGCTGTATCTTCTACCCTTGCTTGGATGCACACACAACAAAGTTCAAAGAAATGTGCATTTTGAGGGATGGCTGTGTTTCGGTTCATTCCTGCATCTACAGGGGTTGGCTAGATGACTCTATGGTTCTATGTATTGTTTTGCAAAGTGTGAATTAGGCAAGTTCACTTTTAAATGCAAACTGAATCAAATTTCTCTCCCATCTCTATTTCAGGGATCTGGGGGAAAGGCTGGATTTTGTACTTTTGTCAACTTAAAACAGTTAGTCCAACCTCACTCTGTTTCTCTAGCATACACGCACACATGGTCTCAGATGCAATTTTCTTTGAGAATTCACTCCTGCGACTTTCAAAGTTCTTTTGTGAGAGAAGATGATGGGGTGTGTCCTTTGAAGCCTGACCGTGTGAAAATTTGAACGCACATGAAATACCTTGTGGGAGGGGAGAAGAGAGGAAGAAATAGTTTTGCTGGTGGGGCAACTTCAGGAAATTGCTTGAGAACTTGGGAAGGGGGAAGGAACCCAAATCACAATTCTTCCTGCCCCACGATGAAACCTTTGGAAGAAAACCTAATCAATAAACAGATAACCATTGCAATAACAATTGAGATTACAGAGCGAGGAATCTTCTGTTTATTTGAGGGTAATAAATGATTCCAATAAATGCATAACAAAAAAATAGAAAATGGAGGAGCCGAGGAGAGGTATACCCATGCAGCCCTGCCTCCTCCTCCCAGATTTTCCTGCACCTGGAGGGAAATAGATGTTCCTCCACTGCAACCTGCTGGCGGTGGAGAGTCAGATGCAGATCTCCCTTCCAAACAGAGGTGTGCGATGGTGAGGGAAGGGATGGATTCAGGCAGAGCCATCGCTGGAAAACGTCGCCTTGACTTTGTCCTTCACCTGCTGGAATCTTTCAGAGAGCCAGTTCCTGCCAATGGGAAGGCAACAGTGAAGGAGTCATGCCCGCCCTCGCCAGGGTCTGTGCAAGACACAGCACTTGATCGAGGTGGGCACCATCCCCCCTCCCACCCCCCACGCTACCCCTCCTCCTCTCCTCCTTCCCCCAATTGGCTGTTAAACAGTTCTGCCCCCTCTAATGAGGAAAATAAGTGAGGAAAATTCTCAGGGATGATTCACACCCTGGCCTTTCATACTGCATCACGGTGTGGTACGCTGGTTTGACATCAACTGATAGGACGTGCCTACAGAGGGTGGTGAATACAGCACAAGATATTATGGGCTGCCCTGTGAATCCGCTGGATGAAACAGCGGAAGAACGTTGCCTCAGGAGAGTGAGGAAAATTCTCAGGGATGATTCACACCCTGGCCGGCACTTCCTTGATCTCCTGCCCTCGGGCAGAAGATATAGAAACATGATTAGTCGCACCAACAGGGTAAAGAACAGCTTCTATCCGTGGGCTGTTAGGCTGCTGAATGAAAAGATAACAACAGGGCAACTGACTTTTGGGTTTGGTGGGTGTGCGTCAGTAAACGAGGGGAATTAAGACTAAGAGCTGAGTGGGGGGTGCTTGTGTAATCTCACTGTATACAAGTTGTACAAGTGACAATAAAGTATTTCAATGATTTCAATAATGCAATGGCGGCGGCGCAGCCTCCTGAAATCTGCCTTGCCCCCTTCTCTACCTTGCACAGAGGTGAGCAAAGTCCTTCTTCAGGGGGAGGCATTCTGGGGGCAAGGGGGCCCGACGGGGAGCGCAACCAGTCCCCAAGAGTGTCTAAAATGAATTTCTAGCTGCGATATCAAAGGGGCAGTGACTGTGGAGAGAGCTTTTTCGCCCTGCTGCGTTCTGTCCCGCTCTACTCTCTCCACCTACTGGTGGCTGGAGGAACTGTTGTTTCTCTTGAATACCCGTCGAGATTAGGGAAAGATGTTGCTCTCTGCAGATCCTTGCTACCACTGTGGCCCCTTTTGCTTTGCAACCCCCCCCCCCCCGCAGAAATGCAGGGCCTGATGCCTTCTAGCCAATCTAGCCGTAATCTAGTTGGAGCCCAACTCTGCACTCTGAGAGAGGAAATATAAGAACCCGCCTTATATGTAGTCTGAATCTTGGTCTATCTAGCTCAATATGGTCTACTCAGACTGGCAGAGGTTCTCCGGCGCTTCAGACAGTGGCCATTCCTAGCCTTTCTCTGGAAATGCTAGGTGTCAGGCCTTCTGCATGCAGAGCCACTAAGCTACAACCCACAGGAGCTTTCGGGTTCCTTCTGGGCCTTAATGAGAATTGGTGAAAAGACATAATTCAGATTCATCAAGGAGCATGACTTTGTTGTTCTTGGAGCTTCTTTTTATGCCATCCCACTTTCTAAGTAGAAGAGTTTGGATTTGATATTCCGCTTTATCACTACCCTAAGGAGTCTCAAAGCGGCTCACATTCTCCTTTCCCTTCCTCCCCCACAACAAACACTCTGTGAGGTGAGTGGGGCTGAGAGACTTCAAAGAAGTGTGACTGGCCCAAGGTCACCCAGCAGCTGCAGGAGCGGAGACGTGAACCCGGTTCCCCAGATTACGAGACTACCGCTCTTAACCACTACACCACACTGGCTCTCTATTCAAGTAGTTAGGTGAGATATTTTGCTAGGCTAGGGGGCTCAGGGCAGGTTCCGTAGCGCACAAAACTCTGTCTGCTACATGTGTCTCAGCAGTTTCCCCCTCCCCCGAAGTTTTGTCCACACTATGGCTCTGAGGCACATTTGACGCGCACCCTTTCCCTCAAAGAATTCTGGGCACTGTAGTTTATCCCTCACAAAGTTAGAATTCCCAGCAACCATTAACAAATTGCAATGCCCAGAATTCTTTTTTTGGACTGGGAGAATTCTGTGCGTACACAGCCCTGGGTTTCAGGCCTTGCAAGGAAGCCACCGGAAATTCACCTGGCTTTGGAGATCGGCTCACTGTTGTGGAACTCCTGGAAAGCTGTTTTGGTCCTCTCTCCAGCGTTGTCAATAAAAGTCTGAACATTGCGCTGGAAGTTCTCAAACCTTTGAGACAGGGAGGGCTCTGTCGGCTCAACCTCAGCGGAGGCTTAGAGAAAGCAAAGAGAACAGCGGCAAAGGCAGTGAGAAATGGATTGCACAGCTTGGAAACTAAACATATCTGGTTTTGCAATATGCCCCGACTCCCCTCCTTCCTCCTGCTGTTCTCTGATTCTCTGGTTGGCCCTAAACACGTCCTTGTGTTGCATCTTCATCGACATGAATGATTCAAGTGAACCAAGGTTATGCAAAACTGCCAAAAGCTAACCTCGGTTAGTATGGCACAATCACATCTTACGTGTAATTAGCTAGCGTGGTTTCAACCTTGCACGGTTGAACCAAGTTTCAATTGAACCAGCGTATGCAAACCTAGCTAAAAACTAACCTCGGTTAGTTAGGGCTGCCATATTTTGAAGAGCAAAAAAAGAGGACACATTTGCCAACTTCTACTTTTAACTATGGATTGCCATGACGACTCTCATTTTTAATACCCCTACTATATGTAGGCTATAGAAGCTGTGATATATTGCTAGTATTCATGTTCTTAACTTTCAACAATTTCCATATAAATTTTGATTCTCGCCAGTGCTATAGTATCTCAAACCTTCCTAATGGCTGAAGAGGTGATAACAGAGAGATTGAACTCTCTCGTGCTACTTACACAGTCAGCTATCAGACAAAATATTCATATATTTCCAATTATATGACTCCAACCTATTATGAAGAAGTCTGACGTAAAATACAAATTACAGCCAATTGAACTTTTCCCTTTTTTGCTTAATAATGAAAGGCAGATTCCCGCCCCACTCCACACACAACAAAAGGATGCATAAAGGTACCTAAATTAAAAAGGAAGGAAGAACGTATCCTGCCCACATAGTAAAAAACACAATTTTTAATTTCCATGCCCTAGTTCAAAAGCCACTTTAAATCCATGACCTTTGGGAACAATAAGCAAAGGGAAAGGGGAATGTAAAGGACAAAACAGAAATATAAAAAGGCAACCTAGACTGTGGGGGCGAAGCAATTGCTTCTATACCAGCAAAACACATGTGCACCTACAACTCTGAGCCACCATAGCATTAAAGAGAGATGCCTCCTCTATTTCTTTTTAAGATGCACAGATTGGGGGATGAACCCCTGCACTTGATGTGGGTAAACATGGAAAATAACCACAAGGAAAGGGGGGGGAGGGAGGAGAGACAGAACATGCAATCGACTGAGACAACACCTAGCGCTAGGAAGCCCCAACCTTGGTTACAGCCAGCGCAGATGTAAAGCTGAACCATGGTTAAGGCTGACAAAGGAAGGGAGGCTCATTCATGTCAAAGTGCTGAGAAGGAGACAAGAGGCAGAGCCTGACCTCTCCCAAACTCTTAACCAGGGTTAAGGTATCAACCATTAAGCCTTTGGCGTTGGGCCATGGGCTGCTGTATTACCCCAAAGCAAAGTGGTGTGCTATGGCTGCTACCTCTGTGGTCTAGTTTTCTCCTCTGGGAGAGGGAGAGAGAGCATCCAGCAGGTGGGGCAGTCTACCTGGTTATGGCTCTGCATTCTAGATTTGAGGCGAGAGGTACCAGCTAAAGGAGCCTGGAAGAGCTGCTCTTCTGTGCTCAGCCAGAGTGGAAGCTGGGATGGAGCAAAGACAGGGTGGTACCCCAGATACACAGAGAAGTGAGACTGGGGACCCCTCTGCTCTTTCTAAACCCACGACAGTCGAGCATAAGGGGGAGGTTGGATTGCAGCCTATGTGTTTTGATTCATGAAACAAACAGGATTCCTCTCATAAAGCGCACACCACCAAACTCCAAAATGGGAAATCGTTTTGATTTTGATTTCTTTAAACCTGCGATCTCTAAGGTTCCTCCTGCTATCTGTTAGATACGTGCAACAGCAGGGATCGTTCAGTTTGCGACTTAAGGGTTAATTCTGACGCTAGCAAGCAAGCCAAAAAAGGAACTGGCGGAGGTGTTGCTTAGCAACTAAACATAGTGGCATGCTCTTTGCTGAGATAGCACATGCTGTGATTGGATGTGAAGTTCTGGAGGAGCTATTCTCTGTATGTTCGGCTGAAGGTCTTCCTGCCCTGCACAAGGCCTGAATTAAGAAACACCCCCACACCACAAAAAAAAATCCGCTCTCTAGTTCTTTCTCCTCAAATTATACAGTGTTTTGTTCTGTTTTCCCCAGTAAAGTTTTACCAAGTCTTTTCTCATTATATAAGTGACTTTTGTTAACACTCTCCAGATCACGTCCAGCCCGCCTCCCCCTCTTATTTTTAAGCCTCTGTTGCTTCCAAACCTCACACCCACTGAACATCAATGCCCAACGCAGATTCTGCCCACAAACTTGGCCAGCTGCAGATCCAAACCCGGCACTGATGGGAAGCCAAATTTTCTCTGGCCAGGAAAAAGAAGTGTTGGTGCTTTCATATGAGAGAGAAAAAAATATGTCGCCCAGCTGCAGTGATAGGATCTGTACAGACATGTCAAATGGGAAGAGCTGTCAGAGGGAGGGGCTTATTTTGGGCCCGGGGTGTGTGTGTCCGGGAGCAGGAAGGTGTGGAAAGGATCCTTTGCCAAACCTGCGTAACTAGAATTTCCAAATTAGCCAGTGGAAGGGAATAGATGCAGTCTAGCCTGTTCCAGTCGCATTGGTGGCGCTGCATAATGAGCTAAGAAAAGGTTTTCGGCTCCTACCTGTCACAGCAAACAAAGCCATGAGGACCACTGCCACGGAAACCGCAAGCTGCATGGTGTTGGCGGGTCTTCGAGTTCCTGGAGGAAAAAAGGAAGGAAGAAAACAAGGGCATATTTGGGGGAACTGGTTAATAACGGTGTTGGACAATGGTGTTGAAATGCTCGTGCGCTGCCTGACGACTGTGCCTAAGGTTTCCTCCACATGACTGAGTAATCCTGAACTGTTCTCACAAAATTTGTGTGGAGCTTCGATGTCATCAGCCGTTCATTGAGCGTTCATTCTGATTCGCCTGCAGGGAGGTCAGATGACATTGCATCCAGCCAGCTATATCACCTCACGCTTCCCAGGGCTTTCCCCATTACTTTCCTTCCAGCAAGAAGTCCAGTTTTGAGAAGTGGGTTTGTTGCACGAGATTAACTTCAACCGTGCAGCCTGAGTTTGTTGGTACGTGATCAAACCCTACCCGGAACTAGCAACAGCCTGGAAGCACCGTAAGAGGCGCAGGGGCAGGGACTGGTTTAAAAGAAGAGAGAGTTGGCAACCCTTGCAGCAGAAATCTTCCGCACCTTTACCAGGTTCAATACACATTGTAAAATTCTCAGCAAAGCTGCAAATGGCTTCTTTTTCTTTCGCATGTGCTCCTTCACTGCCCTCCCGTTCCACCTCTGATTCCCCACCTCCACCCAGAAATGGAATGATGTTCTGCCTCCTCTCTTGAAGGACGGCGACAGACGATTGCCACCTGTCACCTGAAAAGGCACCGGTGCGTTTCACAGCTCGCCAGCTGACAGGCAAAGCTTCCCCCCCAGCATAGCAACGCTGTTATGGGAGGATCCTTCACCGGCTGAATTTCTGCCTGGTATGAAACTCACGATGGCATGAACTCTCCATTAAGGAAGGAGGAAAGGCAGGGGTCAATGCAGCCGTGTTAGATGACTCATAATAAATTTGAGTCTTTTGCATGGCTGTCTGCTCTTGGTTTTGAAGAGCTTCCAACAGCGATTTTGGGGAGGGGGCGTGTCAAAGCTTCACCTGCTTCATGCAGCTGTTAAAGGCAAAAAAGCACAGGAAGATCCCTTTATACCAGTGGTTCAGTATTGTATACTCTGGCTGGCAGCTGCTTTCCAGGGTTGCAGCCTGGAGACGTCCCATACCCACCTAGAGAGGCCGTGGATCGAACCTGGGATTTTTTGCATGCAAATCAGGTGTTCTACTACAGCTAGGAAGGGACGCGAGTGACGCTGTGGGTTAAACCACAGAGCCTAGGACTTGCCGATCAGAAGGTCGGCGGTTCGAATCCCCGCGACGGGGTGAGCTCCCGTTGCTCAGTCCCTGCTCCTGCCCACCTAGCAGTTCGAAAGCACACCAGTGCAAGTAGATAAATAGGTACTGTTCTGGCGGGAAGGTAAACGGCATTTCCGTGCACTGCTCTGGTTCACCAGAAGCAACTTAGTCATGCTGGCCACATGACCCGGAAGCTGTATGCTGGCTCCCTCGGCCAATAAAGCAAGATGAGCGCCGCAACCCCAGAGTTGGCCACGACTGGACCTAATGGTCAGGGGTCCCTTTACCTTTACTACGGCTAGAAAATTGCAACCCTCTGTTAGTGGCAAAAGCTAAATCAACATCTTGGAAAAATGAGGCAAAAAGCTCTCTTAGGGTTGCACTTCATTGCCACCTCCCTCTGCCCACTAAACTTTCTGAACCTTTCTCCCCTCTTCTGAGTCTGTAGTCCCGTCTGTTTGCCCCCACACCACTCCCCAATCTTGCATTTTGCTCGGTCTCATGTTCTTAAATTTGCTTCATTTTTTTTTAAAAGGCTCTGTTGCTGTTTTTTAAAAGCAACGCAGCAGGCAGACATTTAACAGGTGAAGCTCTCCCTGGCATGGAGATGCAGCGGAAGCAACAGCTTTCCCTGCTGAATTTCTGTGCAGTAAATTCCCGCTGTTAAAGACGCAGGAATGAGGCCACTCAGAGAGAGAAAGTGCTCCATCTTCACACACTTCTCATTTAAGATGCCATCGCCAGGGGCTCTGCATTAACTTGCCACGTCTAGATTTTGAAATAATAATAATAATTTGACTCTAATTTAGTCACCCCATTTGAATTCCCCTTTCCCCACATGCCAACTGAATCCATTTCTATATTTCCACTTACTTGCAGCTGGGAGTGGAGACGAGAATCCAAGGTGAAATCAGAATTCCTTCCCAGCTGCTCCAGCTGCTCCCTATAAACCTAGCACCCTGCCTCCGATATCCGCCCCTCGGAGGGCAGCAACCTGAGCCTTGCTGCTCTTTCTCCTCCCCTCCACAGTTAGGAGGTTGCTCCATCCCTCCCAGGAATTTAAACCGCAGCCAGGGATGCTGTAAGAAAAGAAGGCAAGTGTGTGTGTGTGTGTGTGTGTGTGTGTGTGTGTGTGTGTGTGTGCAATCCCATTTCCTCAAACTTTAAAGTCACTGGGAAGTTGGGGGTGGGGGAGAGAGAAGGAACCACCTTCCACGCAGCCCATTTGCTTGTACTTTTGGTCTGCCTGAGCAGTTTGCAAAAAGGCTGGGGGAAAGAAGAGGCCAGCCTCCCTTCTTGAGGCTTCCTGGATAGGGTTTTGCCTCTAAGATGCTTTCGTGATCTGGAAGGATAAATAGCCCTGAGGCACAGTTAAAGGATAGCTCAGCTGGTTAGAGCATGGTGCTGATAACACAAAGGTCGCAGGTTCGATCCCCCTGTGGGATAGCTGCATATTCCTGTGTTTCAGGGGGTTGGAGTAAATGATCCTAAAGGGTCCCTCCCAGCTCTACGATTCTACGAATAATAATAATAATTTATTATTTATACCCCGCCCATCTGGCTGGGCTTCCCCAGCCACTCTGGGCGGCTTCCAACAAAATATTAAAATACAGTAATGCATCAAACATTAAAAGCTTCCCTAAACAGGGCTGCCTTCAGATGTCTTCTAAAAGTCTGGCGGTTGTTGTTCTCTTTGACATCTGGTGGGAGGGCGTTCCACAGGGCGGGCGCCACTGCTGAGAAGAGACCATGGTCTCTCAAGTCATATTTCCCCTCAGTTTTTAAGTTCACACATGGAAGCACTTGCGCCTGATTCTCAAAACGCTCAGTCTGTGGGGGCTTCCTGAAAGTCTCAGATTTGGAATTTACATTTTCAAAGGTCGTCGTCTGTCTCTAACCTCTAAGGCAGGAAAGAGAGTCCAAAACCTTCTGAGGTAGCCTCAAGGCCACCACAACTTGGAAGGCTTCAAAAGAGGAATGGACAAATGCGAGGAAGATAAGGCCATTCAATGGCTACTAGACATAATAGCTATGTTCTGCCTCTGCAGTCGAAGACAGTAATGTTTCTGGAAACTGCCAGAGGGGAAACAGCTCTTGGGCTTGCAAGATTCCCACAGGTATCTGAGTGGCCCCTGTGATATGCTATCCATTGGCCTGATCCTGCAGACTCTTCTCATGTTCTTTGGGTCAGCAACATGCATAGGATGTGAGTGGTGAGACTCAAAAAGGAGGCTCCTTTGCTCAGTCAGAGAGCTCATGTTTTGCAAGCAGAACGTCCTGGGTCTAATCGCTGCTACCTTCAATTTTAAAAGAGATGATCAGATAGATAGCGATGATCTTTGCTGTGCTACTGAGGTTTGTTAACTGGCTTGAAGACCTTCCTAAAGACAGAGAGCAGATAGGCTGACGAAGCAAGTAAGAATACATAGCCCTGAACACAAAGAGTTGGTTTCTATACTTCAGGGGTATATTCTCACATTGTGTGTTTTCAGCTGCAACACAGGAAGCTGTCGCCTACTGAGTCAGACCATTGGTCCATCTCGTTCAATATTGCCTACTCTGACTGGCAGCGACCATCCAGGATTTGGGGAAAGGAAGGAATTGGGGAGTTTTGTATGCTTTTACCCATCCCTCCTTTCCCCCTCCCCATCCCACAACACATTTAAATGTGTATTTTCTCTAAATACATGCATTTTCAAAAATGGGAATTCTGGTGCCTTCAAACAGCGAAGAATTGCATTGCAGGACAGGAGAAGTGTGAAGTCCAGTGGATCGCTAAAATATGTGCCACACATTAGTCCAAGAGGTGCAGGTCAGAAAATATCATGCAGGAATTCACAAACACCATCTTCCTCAAGCTTCTCTACTCATGACAAATTGGTTTATACAGCATGTTAATTCTATTTTCTGAAGCAGAATCTCCCTTCTTGCTCTTCTTCCTTGGCCTGCTCCAGAAGTCGGCAGAACAGGGCAGGTGTCAAGGTACAAAGCTGTTCTCAGTCCCATTCTTCCAAGACTTTGAGCCACCATCCTAGTCCTCATGAGGCAGGTGGTACAAGAAGTTTGTAGGCTGCACAGGATGTCATCCCCTTCCCTGGGCAGGGCTGGGGGAGAAACCCGATTCAATTTAAAGTCAAACTTGCCTAATTTGCAATTTCCGAAACAACACGTGAACTAGAACACAGCCGCCTCTCAAAATTCGGACTTTTCTGAATTTTGTTGTGCTGCTCTCCAGCAGTGACAGCAGAAATGCGTCAGTCTAGGTTAAGCGTGCATATGGACATGTATATTCATGACAGTGACATGCAAACATGCATTGCGTCAGGCGAAACTGCTTCCCCAAAGCGTGTCTACAGTACTTGTCAAAACGGCACGCAAATATGTGTTGATTGGGCAAAATTCGCACTAAAATGCTGGAGAATATTCATAAGACTTTCAGATTGCTGCAGAGCTGTGGAATTAAAGAATGGGTGTGTGAGAGAGAGAATCTTTAATTTGTGAATTAAAGATTTGGAAGGTTGAGAAGCTGAGAGAACCAAAAGCTCCCAGAATCTGTGGGGCAATCCTGGGATGTTTTTTGAAAACTTTCTTCTCTCACTCCCCACCCCCTCTCTCTGTGTGCCTCCATCTGTTTCCCAGAACAGATACTGGGGGTCTTACACAGGCCATAATCCCTGAGGAGTCTCAAAGTTTGAAGCCTTCTCCACAGATGTCAGTGGTGGTAGAAGCTTCTAGGACATGGGCAGGCAAACGAAGGCCCAGGGGCTGGATCCGACCCAATCACCTTCTAAATCTGGCCTGGGAATCAGTGTGTTTTTACATGAGTAGAATGTGGCCTTTTATTTAAAATGCTTCTCTGGGTTATTTGTGGCACCGGCCTGGTGTTTTTACATGAGTAGAATGTGTGCTTTTATTTAAAATGCATCTCTGGGTTATTTGTGGGGCATAGGAATTCGTTCTTGTCCCCCTCTTCAAAATATAGTCCGGCCCCCCACAAGGTCTGAGGGACAGTGGACCGGCCCCCTGCTGAAAAAGTTTGCTGACCCCTGTTCTAGCATGTACCCCCAGAAATCTCCCATTATTTTAAAGCAGGCCCTTATTTGTGTCTTATTCACCACAGCATCACACATCTCTCTTTAACAGCCCTTTTGTCTCTAACCTATACAGCTCTGTGGAACAAACAGTCCCGTTCCACAATGTCCCTTTTCTCCCCAGTTTTTGACCTGGCAACCCCACTCATCCGGCCCGGGAGGAGAGGAGGAGCCTGGAGGGGTTATTTGCGTTCATTGCAAAATGTTTGTTCGGAGATCCAAGCCTCCTTCCTTTCCCCTTCCCAGTAACAAAATGCTGAACGACAGTAACCCCCTCCTGGGATCTTTTAGGATTTATTTTATCTCGAGGTCCACATTTTTTAGATAAACAGCCCTGGTTAAGAAATCCTTTGTTTTTGTTGAGAAACTCAACTCTCCCACACCCTTTCTCTTGTGGAAATTTTTTCTTCTTTCTTGCACTGTAGTCCTTAGTCCACACACACCCACACCCACACACCCACACACACACCACGTTTTATTCTAAACTCAATGCAGGCTTGCATATTTGTACACACAGTCTAGATCTATTGCCTAATTTTTGCCCCTGGAAAGTGCTCCTCGGGTCCTATCTCTAGAAATAACAGTCTGATCTTGGGGGGGGGGGGGCAAGGAGACTTCTGAGATCAAGACAGGAAAACAACCCCAGAGAAAGAGAGTAAAGGTTTTTAAGGCAACTTCAGCAAAGGGGTGAGCAGAGTTGAGGTGGGGGAAAGACCCACTTTGTAGAGCAAAACAGCCTTCTAAGCGATCAACAAAACATTTCTAAGCTATTTTGGAGCTCTAGCGCTCGCAGGCAAAATACCACAACGATATATAACAAGGGGGATTATTTAGCTGTGATTCCTGCGATGCTTAGGGGTGTACTAGTTGGCACCCTTCCAACTCTACAATTCTGTGATAGAACCTGGCTTCATTCTGAGAATAAAAGCTTATTGCAGATTGATTCTGCATTACCACATACTGCGGTCCATTCGAAAAGAGATTAAAACAGATAAGAGTATCAGAAGAGTCCTGCTAGATAAGGCTGATGGCCCCTTCTGTCTGGCATCCTGTTCTCAAAGCAGCGACTCTCAAGCAAAAGAGGCCTCTCCCCTTCTGGGATTTCCAGCAAATGATATGCAGAAACACTACTGCCAAGACAGTGGGGGCAGAGCATAGCCATTGTGGCTAGCAGCCATCTGTAGCTTTCTCCTCCGTGAAGCTGGTGGTCACCACTGCTTCCTGTGGCAGAGAGTTCCATAGTTTAACTATGCACTGAGTGGGCGGTCCCAGAAATGGGGCGTTCATCCACCCCAATGACCCCGTGAGTAGTCATATGTCCAAGATCACAGTCACCCTACGCCAGTGTGGTGTAGTGGTTAAGAGCGGTGGACTCGTAATCTGGTGAACGGGGTTCGTGTCTCTGCTCCTCCACATGCAGCTGCTGGGTGACCTTCGGCTAGTCACACTTCTCTGAAGTCTCTCAGCCTCACTCACCTCACAGAGTGTTTGTTGTGGGGGAGGAAGGGAAAGGAGAATGTTAGCTGCTTTGAGACTCCTTAGGTAAAGGTAAAGGGACCCCTGACCATTAGGTCCAGTCGTGGCCGACTCTGGGGTTGTGGCGCTCATCTCGCTTTATTGACTGAGGGAGCCGGTGTACAGCTTCTGGGTCATGTGGCCAGCAGGACTAAGCCGCTTCTGGCAAACCAGAGCAGCGCATGGAAATGCCGTTTACCTTCTCGCCAGAGCAGTACCTATTTATCTACTTGCACTTTGACGTGCTTTCGAACTGCTAGGTTGGCATGAGCAGGGACTGAGCAATGGGAGCTCCCCGTTGTGGGGATTCGAACCGCTGACCTTCTGATTGGCAAGTCCTAGACTCTGTGGTTTAACCCACAGCGCCAGCCGCATCCCAGCTGGTGAGACTCCTTCGGGTAGTGATAAAGCGGAATATCAAATCAAAACTCTTCTTCTTCTTCTTCTTTTTCATCTTCTTCCTTCAGCTGGAGCATGTGCAGGGAGGAAGGGACATGCATGACTTAATCAAAGGGAGGGTTTTCAAATGTGTTTCCAGTAACTACACCCATTTGGGTGGGTGACAGGATCTAGAACCAATCTAGATTGACAGCAGCATGCTGAAAATGTGCAAGGACAATTCCGGATTGAGAGGGAAACTACATTTTGTGTTACAAGCGAGTTAGTGTATACAGAGCTTTAGGCACGCTATAATATTTTGGAAATGTGGGCTATCCACAAATTATATGGTTCTTTCCTGTTCGTACCACTTAGTGGTAAAACACTGACTAGTATTGCACATGTATGCAGCCACCCAGAACCCTCTCATCAAGGTAGGGAGCTCAAGCAATAGATGGACCACTATAT